CTTACCCGCCCTCATCGTCCTCCTCATTCCCCTCAATGAGAAGAATGAGGCGGAGGAGGACGATGAGGGCGGGGGTAGAGGCGCCCCCAAGAATGAGCAAAGTGAGACGGATGAGAAAGATGAGTATGAGGCCTACAATGAAAAGGTGAACGGAAGGATGAGGAAAGTGAATCTTTCCGTCTCACTGGATGAGAGAAATGAGGAGTTCAGTGAGGAGAATGAGAAAATTCATCCCGGCTCCGGGTGAGTTCACCCGGGACTAGGATGAAAGGAGGAGGATGAGGATGAGACCCGAATCATGTAATTCTTACATCTCCATTGGTACTTCGTGCATTGTCAGGCAGCAAGACCGAGCTTCGCTTGGGTTCAATAACCACACTATGCGTCCTGCAAAACTCTGCCGTAACAAAGTTGTGAGTCGCGCCCGAATCAAAGAGAATGTTCGCTTCGGATCCTGCAGCTTTGCATCCAAAAAGCATGCGTAGAGAACTCGACTTTGCAGCAGCACTGATAACGTGAATTGCACCTCTCGTCAAAACCGCTTCCCTTGAGGCTCTGTTAGGACCTGGCCCGTTTACTGTCTAGACTCCCTTTGATCACTTTGATTCGCGAATCTAACCTTTTTTCACGGCGGATACACCACTTTTTGCATGGCTGATTAATCGGCTCAGCTGCGCCGGGCAACTGCAGGTGAATGCATCTTGACCCCCGGGGCGGGACCCCGGTTAGTAGGTTATGCAGTCCTCACAAAAATTGCAGCTGCGTGAGCCAAGCGCTGGTCGGTTCTTCGGAGGCCAGATTGCATATTACTCAAAGTCCATCTAATAGTCGAAGTCATGTCAAGGTTTCATGTTTAGCGTATAAGGTTGCGCGTCGACCGAAAATCTACCACCCCCCACTTTGATGTTGTCAGACCACGTGGTTCTGGAAACCCTGGTTTCGGCAATGGTTTGCAGCAAACCCTCCACATCTGTGCGCCCTATATTACCCATTTCTGCACCAAAATGCTCTATCCAAAGCACCTGGGCAATGGCCATGAGTGGTGGCCATTGCCGGCAAGGCTTCTTTGAGCAAAGAAGATGCTCATTTGATACTTATAGGCGACACAATCACCCCAGTGTTGCAAACCTCTTACAAACCCATATTTATGAAAAACATGCCTCTGATTGGCTCAGAAACCTGGGATGACCTCGGAGGTTTTCGGTCGACGCGCAACCTGACCTTTGACAACCGACATAACGTCTCATCCACTTGTTCTTTGAAGTGACCGGCTTCCTTTTTTAGCTCAATTGCAGACGTACGATCCCGAAGTCAATCACGAGGTTCATGTCTTCTCTTTGGGTGCATCGATTTGTGATGTATGTGCTGATTAAGCCATTTGGCTGAAGGTTGGCATATTTGTCGCAAATTTTGTCCTCGATCAGACGTCAAGTTCATTAAATTGTATAACCGGTTGACTCGATTATAAAACAAGCTTCCTTTGAGTTTCAAATTCACATGTTACGCAGTCAATTGCAATTGCGCGAGCCGCAGAGCCAGCCCGAGTATCTCCCACCCCCTTCGAGCCCACATTTGGACTTACCACCAAATTAATATACTCAGAACTATATTCAGAACTACCCTCCGAGCGACTGTCCATGTTGGATGATCAGCTTTTTGGAACCATGAGTGGCCCGATATTGTCTCCGCTTTCCTTGTTGTGCGCATTATGAGAACCATCACAATGAGGGAACTGCAAAGAAGAGGGAAAACGGCGTCAGGAGAGGTGAGCAAATGAATAGGTTTCTACATTTTGTTGCATAACGATTCTCCCACGCAGATCTTGGAAGGCAAATGGTGCAAATGGAAGGCTACAATTCACATCGTCCGCAAGCAGAATGCGTCTAGAAAGTGCGCTCTGAGAATAAATCAGATCGACTGAAGGCGACGTTTCGTAATGGAATCGTCCCTTTCCCAAGTATGCCGGACAGCACCTATATAGGTCAGCAGGCTCAAAACCAGTCACAGCTGATTTGGCGGGTCGATATGCAAAGCCTCGATTGAAAGCTGAGCAACTGCCTCGAAACTACAGGTTCTAGCTCAAGCCTTGAAAAGGGACTCCCACGCGATCGCTTACCGTTTTCGACTTCCAGCACCGGCAATACGCCGTTTTGTCCTCCCTCTTTTCGGGTACGTAATCGACCACTTTAGCTAATGTCTGCAAGGGAGGCACGTGACACATCAGCCACGTAGAGGCACAACAAAACGTCGAATTGCAGGAAAGCGAAGTTCTCAGCTCCCGGCGTTGGCGTCTTGCGGCATCCCTGAAGGGCAGTTCTTTTTCAATGAAACACAAGAAGGTTTTCTAACAAACTCTGCCCTTCTCACCAGGCGACCTAAAGAAGATGGTATATCAAAAGGCAAAACCCGAAAAAGGCAGGAAAACGTAAATTAAAGGCGAAGTAAAGATGGAGGCCACGATTCTCGGAGCGCTGGCTGCTTACCTTCTTGATATTGTGATTGATCTGCACCTGGTTCGCCCCTCCTTTTGCAGCGATCACCCCGAGCAACTGGCTCAACGCAAACACGGATAAGAGGTGCACAACAATGAGCGTCCCTAGCAGGGGGGCAAGCTTCACCCAGTCGCCAGTGTCGAGGCCAAGGAAGCCCTGGGCCGTCTTGGGCAGGGGCAAACCCTGGGGTTGAGAAGTCAAACCATGTTTTAGTGTTCGCGAGATGGCAAGGAAGCGAAGGGGGGGAGTTCTTAGTTGGTGTAGAGTCTGCAGCGGCAGTGAAATCTTATACTGTGGCTAACTACTAGGAGGTCAGTTTATCTCAACAATAGGTTGGTTGCTGAGACAGTAGGAAGGAAAATGAATCGGCAGGACAGAACCGCACGGTTGAAGAAAGCGCGGCTGACAGCGCTGGAGAAAGCATGAAAAAGGCACCGTCATTTCTGCCCCAACTGTGAGATTTAATTTATTCTGGGAACTACCTCAAAAATCTATATGGGGCGATGGTTTGTTATCAGAAAAAAGTCCAGCTTCAGGATAGCAACCGTTGACTGGACGAGTGAAGGACAACTCTCGGGGCAGAAAGCAGGTGTGATGACCTCCTGAGAGTTGCAGAAATGCTCAGTTGCCCTCTTTCCAAGCATTTGATTGGCGCCCGGTGTATAAAGACTTAATCACGGAGGGCCAAATGGTGGTAGCGCGACACAAGGCTTTTAGACCTTTGTTGCAGACCAAATGATAGATCAAAGCATGTGGGCCATGAATGCAACTAAAAGAATGGGTTGCGCTTCAACCTTCTCATCTGGAGTAGTTCTTCCAGATCAGATGCACAATGCAATTTACAGCGAGATATTTCCATGCCCTTCTCGTCTGTTGATGATGAGATTCGAGTATAAAATGGGCTCTGGAATCACAACGCCCACAGAGCACCCAACAGCTGACGGAGGGAGGCGGCATTCAGAGTTCACAATTTGTTCATATTCCACAAATCCACAAAAGCAAAAGTAAACAAGGAAACAAGGAAGCGGTGACACAACCAACACTGTGAGAGGCTTTCGCACACCAACAAGTATCTATTTGCTCACAACTCAAAAACCAATGAGTCCCATTCAAGCTCCTCAAATCATCCAAATTCCAATCAGTTCTCCTTGAACACAATAGATGATGCACAGAGAGCTTCCAGTAGCTGTCAAGGAACTCTGGGTGGTTCCCATTACGCATTGCGTCTGACCACTGAAAGCTCCAGCCGATGCAAGCCTCGCCGAACTTGACTGGGCTAGATTGAACCAGCTCAGGGAGCTGGAATGCTGTAGATTTCACCTTCAGATAGGCAGGCACGTCTCTTGTGATGGCTACTTGCAGCCTCTCTACGGCAGCGTCCAGAAATGCGGCCATGGCGCCTTAGACAAGGAGAGAGAAGCGTGTGTTAAAAAGGTTTCAGCAACTGAGAAGGGAAAACTTTTCGGAAGATGCCAGGACTCTGACGACCATCATTCACAATACAATGCAATCCTGGCTGCAATACCAGCACTGGCCAGTGTCTTGAATTTAAAATTATGCTTTCTTCAGCTGCAGATGAACGGAGGGCATGCTTCAACGCGCGCGCGGCGCGGCTCGATTCTTCGAGGCTTAGTAAGTTAGTAGGCGGCAGGCTTCGACTAAACCACGGGCGAACGCGAAACCTGACGGTCCCTCCATGCCCGGGCGCGTGCTCGCGCTTGCTTGACCTGCAATGCAATGGCGAAGCGCGGGGTGGGCCGCAGCTAAAACATGGCAGCAATTGCCAGCGTTGGACGCAGAAGGCGCCTGCAGTCCACGTAAAACTCTTTGGTCCTAGCCAAAGCCCGTCTTGTGTGTCCTTTCTTCGATCCTCTCCAATGCGCTGCAGTGAGTGCAGCAAGGAGGGCGCCGCATTGCGATGCTCCCGCTGCAAACGCGTCTTCTATTGCAGCAAGGCCTGTCAGCAAAGAGACTGGCCAACACACAAGCGAACCTGCAGTCCTGGGGCCCTGCCTGAAGCAGAGTCTGTTGTCAATCAAGCGGGCACCACTGGCGGGGGATCCCCTCAGAACTTGGAAGTGAGGCCAGTGGTGGTGAGGGAGAAGCGGGCGCCCATAAGGGAAGACTTTCCAGAGGGGCTGAGGGAGTATGTATATGAGAGGAGCGTTGATGGGGTGGAGGAGAACCTGCTGATCTTGTTGCATGGGCTGGGGGACACGTGCAAGCCGTGAGTAATGCTGACGATTCATGTTTCAATCCTAGCAATTCCACCAGTTTAAAGCCCCTTTCGAATGAGGATCTGTCCTTTTCTTCTGCTGCTTGCCGCTGATCAATTGATCAGCATGTCCTCCGAAACTCTACAGCTTTGAAATTCCCCTTGCTTTTTCAGATACACACATGGAGGAAGTTCCTGACAAGGACCGATTGTGAGCTGTTGTTCTTGAACGTATCTCACCACTTTTTTGACATCCTGCTGTGAATTCAGCTCAAGTCCTCTCCTGCTTTCATCAGCCAGGGTCATGCGCACACAGGTTTACAGCGCTTTGCCTCTTTTTTCCCCCTCATCCGAGGATTTCTTTATATCTCACATCTCGAGATGGACTCATTCCTAGCATCATTGCATCGTTTTCTGCAGCTTCACCACCCTGGGAAAACGCATGAATCTGCCCCAGACATCCATCCTCGCTCTCTCGGGGCCTATTCAAATCCCCGAAACCGACGGCGGTCGCGCCTGGTTCACCTCTTTTGATGAAAACTGGGATCTCATTGAGCCTTCCCCGAACGAGACTCAACGCTTGCACAGTTTACGAGTAACCCGCTCTAAACTAAGCCGGTTACTGGATAACCTGGAAAGTCGGTGCGGTTGGAATAGGGGCCAGATACACTTGTTAGGCTTTTCTCAAGGGGGGCAAGTGGTACTCGACCTGGCGCTGAACTCGTGCGGTGCGAATAAGCTCGGGGGAGTGGTGAGTGGGCTGACACAGGAAGTGAGAGTGCCTATTTACACCGTTGGTGTGTCATATTTCGGTAGCTCGGGTAGGCAGATCTCGTGGGGTGTAGAACGATGTGTAGAGTTGCAAGTAGGCTGGAGAGGAATCTCATTTTGAATTGATAGGTTGAGAATCAATACTTGTGAAGTTTGAGGCAAGAGTTTAGATAGGAAAAAAAGGCTTCTGACCAGTTTTGTTGGGAGGCTTTTGAGTTTTTTCTGCTGGCAATCAGGAGCCGCCATCCGACAAAGTTTGGGATGAGGTAGGGCTCAGGGAGATGAAAAGGAGAAAGTAAGTGACAAGAAGCAAAATTTGGAGAGCTGAAAGGCAACTGGTAATCGGGAGTCCTTACAGCAGGATTGGTTGAAAGACACTGGTAATACTGAATGGATTGAAATCCAGCTTTGGACCTAGTTATCGAGGGCGATTTCACGTCCATGACCATGCTTTGCAGGTCGCCCTGTCTGCAGCCGTTCTTCCAGAGGCGATCATACAAGCTTCGAAAAGCGATGTGAAGCCGTGTCAAACGGTGAGCGAACCAGTGACGCGTTTTTCGCAAGCCTTTTGCTTTTGTCAATGTGCGTCATGCACAAACCACGAACTTTCACCTGTAGCTCTATCAGAGTTCTATCGCTGCGAGTTGAGGGAGAATCAAGATAGAGTCTTTATGGAGCTCTCGTTTAGAGATCTCCTCTGTTTTGTGGGCCTCGTCTTCAAATCATCCTGTTACCGTTCTGGCTGCTTTTTGCAACTTCGTTCGTTAGAATTCAACTTATGATCAGTCGCAGCCCGTTGGATGTAACTGGTGACGCCCTTGCTGCAGGCTTGTACGCCGGTCTTGGCTGTGCGGGGCACCGCCGACGACGTTCTCAGCAAAGCTGACTGGCAAAGGTAAGAGCAGTCTTCTGACTCTGAACTGATTGCCGCTGCATTCGTGGCTCCTACATATACTGGGATGTCGGCTTTCAGTTGCACTTGCCGTTTTGACCAGATACGAACATCCTCAACTTCGGATGCTTAGCCGAGGATGAAGTTCATTTGTTGATATGGTTGTATTGCCTGCCTGCATCTCAAGTGTGAGTATGATTGCCTCGTTTGCCTTTACTTGAAAGCCGGGCAATTTTCTCAAGAGATATACGGGCTCCACTTCACTCTTACTCCCTTCCGAACGCGCAGGTCTAATGACTACTACCGTTCTTGCCATCCTGCGGCGGACGTACAGGCGACAGAAGTGCGCAAGGTAAAGTCGTGCTTCGTTGGTCCATCATGTCACTAGCCGAAAGATGGGTGCGCATCTGTTGATCGATTCTGCAAATTTTCGAGAGTTATCTTCTTCGGACGTAGCTCTGTCTCCGGTTGCTTTTGACCCCAAGCGGAGAGCTTCCTTTCAAGCGATAACTATGCTGGCTGAGCTTCCTGGATGTTTTTGCTCGTTGTTGCCTCTGTTACGGTGCGAAAGAGGACGCTGACGTGTGCCCTAACTACGCCGAAACTCGTTCCGCCGTCGTTCCGACAGGTGTCTGAGATCGTCCCCTTTTCCGTTCTGCCTAGTACGAACGTCTTGAGCTTTAACTTATGCTCTCGCTGTTGATCATAAATTCTTACTGTCGACCTGTTATGCAGAAAAGCGGCCAGCTTTTCGCTTCATCTGATTCGAGTCGGCCGTCGCATGTACGTAAAATGGATTCCTCTCGCTCTCTGTACCATACATAAGCTGACATTTCACATGTAGATGTTTAAGGAGTATCTCGCAAATGTTTTGACGGTACCTTGTTCTGCGACAACCTTTGGCTTCTCTTGCTCGATCCGCAGGGCCATCAGATGGTGTCCAGCGAGGCGGAGATGCGCATTCTGATGGAGTTCTGGGCGAAGACCCTGACCCGGCGGTCCGCCCTGGAACGAACAGAAGGTCTTGTAGAAGTCACGGGGACCAACGCCACGGAAACCCTAGAGTCGCTTAGAAATAGGGGAAAACCGGATCGTTTGAGAACGGATATCGTAACCTTGGCTGATAGTCATATTTAACCCGCTGCGAGCTATTTGGGCATCCTCGGTAACGACTTCCATCAGTCACGACTCGGTCGCTGACTTCATCAGCATGTGCTTCACGAGGGTTTCTGTAGCGGTGAATGCGAGAGCAGCGTGTAGGCAGAGTATACGCACGAAGCTATGTGCATGATAGAGCAGTCTGGTTGCGAGCCACGTACATAGTGCACATACAGGCCGGGTCAAAGTATGGCGGACGCGCACTTTCCGGTCGTTCCTTTCGTCCGCTCGTCCGCTCGTTCGTTCGTTCCGCGTTGACTTCCGTTCGAACCGGTGCGTAAATCGTAAGATTGTGGAATCTGCACAGCCAGCGTCTGCCCATGCAAATTGCATGCTTGAGCGGATTTACATGCCTGACCATGATGCACTTGGATCGATGCGATCGAGCCTGGGGTCCAGCTGTGCAAAGCCATGCACTCAATGCGGCCTAGTGATCATGCATATGCGCATTGGTATGTGACGGTAGGTGCATGTGACATTTGGCTGATTTGCATCAGGAATGGTTTGCACTATCTAATATTTAAGCTAGGATATATTTTGAAGGAAAACAGTTACTACGTAAATCCGCAACGAGCACTGCATGAAAATACCGGCCGCCATGTTGATATACATGTGTGCATGAGATGCACCCAGATACACTGCAGGATCGATGAGACGGCGATCATTGCATTAAATTGGCATCGTCTATGTTTGGCAGCTCAATCTTAGCTCAATAACAACGTACGGCCACTTTAGAATGGAGAAGGCCACTAAAGTGCAAATGTCTAGAAAGTACGTTCGCTACTTAAGCTTCCCGTTCTAGGTCTTCAGCGCCCAGTGCATTCGACCGTCCCGATTGGCAGCTGATAGCTCGCGCAAGACAGCCGCAGGACTTGACGACCCTCTGCAAACACAGACTCTTTCACGGGTAGCACCAGGGAGACCAAGAGCTTTCTTTTCAAACCAGGAAAGTTCCACTTCCTGGCATGATCGGGCGTTTTGCCAAACCAGTCGCAGGGCCCATAATTGCGGTAACTGGGAAGGATCCCTTGACAAAGAACGGAATCGATGGAGCTCATCTGGGTTCCGTGGAAGACGAGGGGAAGAGGCCGGAAGCGCTTGCTGCGGAACGGAATGAAACAGCAAGCGCATCTTTCGAAACAGGCACCTGCAGCCAGAAAGAATGATCGCGTCGAGTTTCAGGGTCCCGGGTGTGAAGACATGCAGGGCTCAGAGAAGTGTGACATGGATGTGAAACGAGAATGGCCTTTTGTTTAATAACGTACAGAAAAGACTAAGTGGGCTTCGTTTGATATACGCTTCGCTCAGGATGAAGGTAAGTATCAAAATCAGGTCACACCAGAAGTTCGTACCACGGTATTGAGACGGCCTTCATCCACGTCATGCTCCTTTCGTCAGGAAAGATCTCCGCACGAAAGGTAGTACTTTCCAAAGTCGCCTGATCAAGAATCATAATACGAGGTCAAACGGTGACATGTCATACTATGTCCATACTGCTTAGTAAGCGATGAGTATCAAATAGCAAATCGTCCTCCTCAGCACTGACCTGTGACTTTGTAGTGATGCTCGCACAGGCGCGCGAGGAAACGATCGTAAAGGGGCCCGGACAGAGCGTACGGATTCAGAACAAAACTGGACGGGTCAATTTCTTCGGACCACCGGGACAGGCGCTCCCGGATGCTGTCTTCGGACAGGTGGCGCGCGAGTACTTCCTTCACTTCCTGCAAAATCAAGGCCGTTTCGCCGGTAGATAAATCCGTGCAAGGCAGCACGATGACGTGGTTCTACTTTGTCTGGGTTGGCGCTGCTTTCTCCTGATGAAGACATGCAGGTTTCGCGGAGCATAAGATTCGGGCTCGCAAAGTCGTGCTGGCTAGCTGGGTTTGTTCAACGGAAGTGGATCCGCCGCCACTTTGAGACAAAGCTTCTCAGGGCAACGTAGGGGCCGGGGCAGGATAGCAATGCCTGGTCGTCCGATCAACTATAAGGTGAAAAGTGTCTACTCCCACCTCTTGTTCTTCATCATGTTGCTTCCTCTGGCACCCATTTCGCTCTGGCCCCTTGGTTAGCGGCCGGTGCCCCCGTCTCATTCAGACCCGTTACTTCGGGAATTGTCTTGTCCTTGGACATGCTGCTTTTGTTTAAGGAGACAACGGGGCAAGCGGCCGGTAAAAGAGTCCACACGAAAGTTTTGCAAACATTAGGACGCACTTGCCCACGTCATGAAAGAGTAGGCTTCCAATCTTTGGACTGGCCTCTTCTCGACAACGGGCAAACCTGACCGGAACCATGATTCCGGCACGGAAGAGCTACGACGCCTTCTGCTTTTGCCACGTGGCAAAGGATCGCAGCCGCTGGGAGCGCGCCCGAAACCAGTCAAAAGGTATGTACCGTATAGTAGCATCGGGGCCAGGTCGAAGCGAAGTCGAAGCGCGACCTTTTCGCACCGTCTCTTAAAGCGCGAACTGAACAAAAGTTTCTGCACTTCGCAGAAGAGCGTGCGTGTCAAGAAGGCGAGACGCCTTGCTAGAGCGCCTTGTTTTCAAGTTGTGCCTTATTGAAAGTCGGTTCTCCTGTGAATCCTTGCATTGCAGAGCTGGAAAATGACAGCAGTCTTCGGACGTCCTTGTCCTGCGTGAGGGTCTGGAAGTGAGCACCTTTGAACAAAGCCAGCTTGTCTGATGTCAGTCTCTTGAAATACATACGTATACAAGGATGGGGCTAGTACCAGCTGGGAAAAAGAGATACGTGTGGCCATGGTGGAGCAAGAAGGCGGACCCGGAGCTGGAGGTGAGCAGGAAGCGGTTAAGATAGCCCTCCAACCGGTTTGGAAGTGGTCAAGCCTTTGGTTGCTAGCGATCTGCCCATGGTAGAGCAAGAAGGTGGAACCGGAGCTAGAGGTACTAGACAGGGGTCGTTTAAGATAACCTCCAACCGGTTTGGAAGTGGTCAAGCCGTTGGGTGCTACGCAGTCGAGTGGTCTGATTGAGATTGAAAGACTTGTAAGAGTTCAAAAGTTGCCCGAGACTGCTGTTGTTACTCCAAGATACTCGCTTTTATCTTCCAGATATTGTCTACACGTGTCTGAACAAGCTGAAACTTCTTTCTACGCCAATTTTCGCAGATAGCGTCTCAGATAGTCTTGACCGTACTTCTTGATCTAGTGCACATATAGCTCTGTGAGTAGTAAGCCTTGCAACCAGAATCAAGACCTAAATAAAAGCTTTGCGCTCCGCACCCGAACCCACGCTAACCCCCTAGCCAACCCCACCCGTTGTATGCTAGCACAAAACCCTTATTTTTCACTGAGCTTGCTGTCCATTTCTCGGTTAGAAACCGGGATCGTTTTCCGGCTTGCGCCTCTCAGGAACTGAGGAAGAAACTCGCGGACATCTTGTCCGAGGAGAACGTCCGGGAGCAACTGTCCGGGTGGTCCAAATCCATCCAGCTGTCCTCCTTCGTTCCGAACCCGCACGCGCTTTCTGGGCGTCTCCACGAACGCTTCCTTGCCCGCCTTTACCAGCACCGCAAAAGAGAGAAAGGTACGTGCTGACCCAAAAGAGTGCCGTGTGATTTTAGAGTCTGTAGAAGATGCAATGCTCGGGCGTCGTCAGTTGTCGACTGGGGAAATCCTATACAAATTGGTCAAGACCGGAGTACAGCATGCTTTCATACAGTCAGTTCGGGTTCGACCACCACAATTCTATCACCTCAAGCAGCCGTGGTGTGATTGGTTACAGACTCTACTTCTCGCACAATGGGAGCTTTGTTCTTGAGCGACATATATGAGCAGTGCGTTCATCGGAATTGTCCAGAAACTTCGAAGCACCTTGCACTCTCCACCAAAAATAATCATGTGATGGAGATCTGACCTTCCGTTCCAGTCTCTTCCTCAGCTCACAGGGGTATTTGGCGGTCAATTACCATAGTCGGTTACGGGCTGGTTCGAAGCTGGTTAACTGTCCAATGACCAGGATCGAGCCGTAACCAGGGCTTGAACATGGCTATTACGCGGTTATTGGTCAAAGGACCATACGGAAGACGGGTTAGCGAACATGGTTAGCAGCCAAACCTTCCTGTGCAGGTAGCAGCGCGTCCTGCTTCTCCGGCTCCTCGAGCAACGAAGACAGCTTCTCCCTCCTTCGCTTCGTATTCCACGGGACCCACAAGCGTAACTTGGACTCGATTCTGCGCAACGGTATGATACGTTGGTATCAGACCAAAGGGTGCGACTGGTTTGGCCTTAACCCAGAGACGTCCAAACCCTACTGCCGCAATCGCTTTGAAGGCACGCTCCTGGTCTTCCTAGTTCTTCCGGTTAAGCGGGCTGTGAAGCGAGACGATACGGACGTTTTAACGATGAGGTATGCAAGCTACCAACTGCCAATCGGGACTGTCAAGTGGGTTTTAGACGCGAAGCGGCAGAATATACTGAAAATCGTACCATTTTTTTGAGACTTTGAGACTTTGCTGCGGCTGGGGTTGGATAGGGCCCCAATGGTTGTTTGGTTGCAGACACCAGACAGTGTGTCTTCAAAAGCTGTTCCAAAGTATACTGATAATCTGGATACAGGCGGATCAAATTGCAATCTATGAGGAGAGACTCGGACCTTCAGACGTATCTACAGAATGATAAAACTTCTACTTATTCAAGAGCCTATGTCAGGGGTTTCGAATACCTGATGAGGAGCGATAAATATGGTCAGACTCGAATTGCACGGTACGGTCAGCTAGTCGTTTCACGTTGGATTCATCGACCTCATAGAAGACGATGCATGTTCAACTTTCGCACAAGAAATGATGCATAGAAAAAGCTCGCGGAGAAGAGCCTTCGAAGGAAGAACAGCAAAGGATGATCCAATTACCATATCAGAAGGACAAACGCTTGGGGCTGCCAGCGTCTGGCGCATGATTGCAAGTCAAAATCGAACGCGCCTCATTCCGTGGCAATTATAAGCGGTTGCTTTGATTTGAGGTTAAAAAGCTTCCGGCTCCGATTTGTCATGAGTTCAAGTTATATCAAGACCGATATCAATGACACGTAAACCCTGAGATTTGCCAACTTCGAAGCTGTGCACACCCCAAATCATCTTGCTAACCTCACCCGTCCGAAACAAATCCTATAACACTAACTAATCTCGAGACCAATCTGGACCGAGCTTGGTCACATAAAGCTGTAAAGACGTCTTGACGAGTCGCTCCGTTGAAATGCTCCGTTCCGGTCCCCTGGACTCACAAGGTGCTCGTGAATACCGGTGGCTACGCGACGCGCCGGAACGGAACCGTGATCGTCCGTTCCGCTGTGATTTGTTCCATAGTGCCGCCGGAACCTGTCCCTGGAGCAATGCGAGGAATTATCGGCGACTCCCCCGACTCACATCACTTGGTAAATCGGCTTGAATGGCGGCTCTAGGCTCTATACAAATTATCTCCTCTTTTTTGCGAGTTTATAGCGCGAGTTTTGCTCTCTGCTTGCTAGCTTTGACGCGCTGATCATTTTCCACGTACTATCGTAAGCTTTACTTCCGAGTTGAACAAACCCAGCTGGCTAAAGTTTTGAGGCACCTCACGCGCGGGGGTGATGGATCCAGAGGGGCAGGAAAAAGCGGAAGGACAAGAAGATACCAAGAGGCGCAAGAGCAAGGAGGAACGCCGGAAAGAGGTGCGCTACTGCTTGCGCCCTCCAACGTCTTTTGTTTCGAGGTTCGATAGCTTCTTCGTATTATGTTGTACAGAACCCAAGACTTTGTTCAAGGTCCTCACCTTTTCATTGGAGCCCACCAAGTTCAACAAGCCATGATATTGTGGTATGTTATTTAGCTGCCCAAAACTTGAAGAGGCCCAACATAATAAGAAGAACTGTACTATAGGACCCAAATGATCTCTGTAGCCCCTGGGCACATGAGGCAGGAGCGCTAGCGTGTCTGTAGTTCGAAAAGCGTCTCTTTGCCATGAATGGACAAGTTTAAGCCTACTCACTACATTGATTCCTGTGTTGCCTTTTTTCCTTCTTAAAGAAGCTCCAGAAGATGCTCGCGCACATGCTGTCCGAAGAGAATGTCCGGGAACAGCTGTCCGCATGGCAGAACTGCATCGACCCGGCCTCGTTTGTCCTGAACGAATTCGCGTTCTCGGGGCCGCTCTACGGCCGCTTTCTCGAGCGCCTGTACGAGCACCGCCGAGCGATTAAAGGTGGGTGCTGACGTCAATTGTGACGTAGGAGCTTCTCGTTGCCATTATAGTAGCTGCACTGTGCCGACGCTAACGCGCCGCTTGCGTAACCTTCTGCTCATATAACGCTTATTTTTTCCAATCCTTCGAACACCATCAAGCCAGTTGTTTGTCTTCAGGTGAATTGCTACCGGAAAGCCTCTGAGCCTTAACGCAAGCATGCGGGTATGACTCACTATTCATGACATCATCAACAAGTCGCCGTGTTCTCTGAACGTGACTCAACCCTTTCAATCAACATTCGTCCTTGAGGTAGAAAGAAGACGAGAATTTGCACTGTGACCTTTTGGGGCAATTCATTTGCAGTGAATGGGAAGGGCGGAGTCTATCGCGCCTAATCACAAGTGTCACAATTTGGGGGAGCATCACATCCACTGTGTTAAAAGTCGAAAAGGGTTTGATACTGGACACATTTGAAACCCTGGTTGGAAAGTACTGCGAATATTGCCAACGGACTTTCTGCCCGGCACAAGCACCCAACTCTTGTGGAACTAACACTAGGCATCATATTACTTATCGCGAGTCTTGTCTGAAGTACGCATCATATTAGTTATCGCGAGTCTTGTCTGATTTGGCTCAACACCTGGCACAGACGGCTGACAACCTCTCCGCTCTTCCTGCGCAACAGCTCCGATTGCAAAAAGGAGCATCTGGCGCTGCTTTGGGAGTCCCAGAAACGACGCGGCTCACCCCTCCTTGCTGCGCCTCGTTTTTCACGGGACTCCCGACCAGAACGTGGAGTCCATTCTGCTGCTCGGAATGCGCCCTTCTAAACGGCGCGCAGACCGACGGTGCGACTGGTTCGCTTACGAGCCGGCGTTTTCCAAAAGATTCACCGTTTGTAAAGAGACCAAGACTCGGGGAAAGAGGCTCCTGGTGTTCTTGGTGTTACCGGTCAAGAAAGCTGTGCTCCATAACAGCAATATGGAGGACGTACTCACGATGAAACATGCGTCCTACCAACTGCCCGTCGGAACGGTTGAGTTTGTGCAAGCGCCCGCGGCGCAAACCTGATAGCGACTGCGATAAGCAAAGCTCTATCAGCGATTCTGTGCAATCTCCAAGCACGAAAGGGATAAGGGGTTGGAACTTGAGACCGTTAAACGACAATGATCAGCTCATCACAAACAAGGGACGTGCCAGGCCGCCCCCCATTTACAAGACCGATATGAATGCCTTGGAACCAGAGGTCTTGTGAAAGCTAGGAGTGGCAGTAAGAGACCGCATAAAAGCGGACAGGGAGTGTTCAACATCACATGAAGTGCGGAACCGCAAACGCAAATCAAATGGTTGGTCCAGGAATCCGTGATATATGTGTATCGCACACCGGGTTGACGACGCGTCTGCGCGGACCCACTCAACAAACCGGCTCAAGAGCACGCCGGGTTCTCTTCGTATGAAAAATACCGCCCTTTGGCCGGGAGCTGGCAGATTAGGTGCACCTGCTTCTTCTGTTCATTGAGGGAGTACGGATAGCGTATTCATGTGGGTCAAAACCCTGCCTTTCGCGGCTCTGCAAATGATCCACACTTTTGACGGTTCAATTTCGGTTGGGTCCCTCAGGTGAACTTTCGGGCACGATATGTTCGTTATCAGATCAACCGTGTCTGACATTGAAAAAATCACATACGTGATTGGGCATACGCATCGTTGTACCAAGCACGGACTAATGAAGAGAATTCATAATGCTAACAGTCATTTCGGTCGGATGACGGCCTCGACTCATGCATGTTGCACATTCGCCCAGAGACTGCGGTGCGCACGTTGGATGACTTCGCATCTCGACGGAATGAAGGACTGTTAGATCGTTCCCGGCTCATGAACCCGAGGAATAACGGGAAAAAGGAACGTTGATTGAATGAGTAGGAAGTTCGGACTCCCACTTGTTGGGATCCATCCTATAATCGACGCGTCACGCAAGAGCTTCGTGCTCGAGACTAAAGTGTCAAGCCCTACTCCTACAATTTACAATCTCAGACGTCACTATTTCACAGGCTTATTACCCACTATAAATGCCCCTCTCTGGAGAGCGTGACCACCCTGCATACTGATCTCAAAGAGCCCGAACGTTACGCACACTTCCGAATATCCTTCTAGTCCACATCCCACGGCGTCGGCTTGAGGGAAGCCTTGATTTCAATCTCTACACATCACTGTACCTATGTTGATAAAGCACAGGGGCGCAACGCGCCTTGCGTTCCCTGTACATTTGTACCTACTTTAAACCATCCACTTCCCTTCATCTAGTGGGACCAACCCGTTACTGTCAAAGCATTCCGTCGCCCTCACCACGGAATTCTATGCCTCATCATTAGCCCCCGGCCCGGAGGTAAGCCTGCTCAATTCCGCCCGGACGGACACTAATGCACGACCCTACGATCAGAATATCACTACAGTTGTAAGCTTTTGCTTTAGCAAACCCCTACCTCAGACACTACCCTCCTGCTCCGCAACCGTACCCAACCTAATCCACCCCCAAGCTGACCCACCCCTCCCAGGCTGGTGATCCTAGTAATTTTTCGCTTGCTTCTCTCGATCTGCAGTCTTATACATGAAACGGCGCGGCGCTTCTACTGCACGGCCCCCATGCCAAAGATCTTCCCCTGGGGGTGCGCGCGCACCGTCTCCGCCGAGGACGAAAGCCACAGCTTGGTACGCACCGCTTCAGCCGGTACAGCCGCCGAAGCGACCGGGGGATCCCCCACCAGCGGGCAGCCCGCCGTGATCCAGGCCTCGGCGATATGGTGACCGGTCATACCGGTACCGGGCACAATGTTCTGCCAGAACTGGCCCATGGACCCGCCCCCCGGGGCGAGGTAGACGGTCAGGAAGGAGCTGGCGTCAGCATAGTGGGGCGTGACGTAACCGTTGGACGGGTCCGCGAGAGCCGCCATGAAGTCGTCCAGAGAACCCTTCAGCCATTCAGTAACCTCTTTTTCCTGCGGGTTACCCTGTACGTGGACGTACGCGAAGTTTGGGTCCTCGCTTTCAGTTGCAAACGATATCCTTAGGTGTAGAGACGGGAGGAACCCACGCCACTTTCGCAAACCGCCTTGGCTTTGAGGGGTACTTTAGGAACCCCTCATCCAAAATGAATGGATCAACCTTACACAGCCGATGCCACGCAAACGAGAAGGGCTTGGAAGCAGGCAGTTCTCTTAGGAAGCCGCCGTGTCCGGCTGCAACGTGGTATGCCCCAGAACTGGGCGGAGTGTCACAGACAGAACCGGATTGTGCGAGAGTGCATCGGGTCGACTTCGGACCGCAATCTCCCAACGATAGCAGCACCAACGAATTCAATACGATAAAACCCTCATCTGGATCCGATCCAAACTCGAAGTATGATTCGGACTTGGATCAGATCTCATCTTAATTGCTTTCGGACCATTTCGAGACCTTCCGGACGATCTGAACGGGGTCCGGCGCATCCAGACGCGTTTCCGGAGGGGGAAAGGCGTTCAGACTCAGGTGGGGCTAAGTTCTGGGTCAGAAGAAAGGGTTTCTCAAAAGCCAGTGAACTGGTGATCAATGTGAATCTTGAGATGCCTGCTCTCAAAAAAGCCCCACCTTTCCGTGCAGGAATTTCGTCGTATGAGCCTCCTCCCCCAGTGCCTGCTTCCGGAAGTACTCGAGCGCCTTCTTGAAGCTTTCCGCTGCGGAAGGCGGCGGAAGCGGATTCGGCTGGGGGCCTAGGCTGCTGATCCAGTCCGCCCAGAGCACTTGCTCCTGGTCGAAAGCGAGATTTGATGAGGATCGGATTGGCTGTTCCGGTAACGTCAGGTGTGTTGGACTTTTAGCGAGCAGAGAAGATTTTGGGAGCGTGAGCGTCTGATAGTCTATGCCAAAAAGCGCTTACGAAAAGTTAGAGACGAAAGCTAAAAGCAAGCGAGATTTGCGAGATTCGAAAAGCTGAAGTGTGCTTTCAAATCTGTCTGTGGGAGACAAAGAAAAAGTGCGGTAACTCACGACGAAATTCTAGCCGACATCACTGCCATCGCAAAAGTAGACCAAGAGCAGTACTGAAGTAAACACCAACAAGTGTGCTTTACCTATCCGAGTCACCCCATGACGGTCAGTATTAAACGGTTGAAGTCGAAGCTGCCGTTGTCTTCTACACCCTTTGAGCACTATGATACTAGGCTTCAAAGCCGTTTTGTCCTATCTGCAAAGCAACAAGTAAGAGTGAAGCCGTCTCTTACAGCTGGTGTGAAAACCCCGAGCATCGGCCCCGTCTGGAAGTTCATCAGATCGAAGATGGAGCTGGTCTTGGGGCTTCCCGGGTCGACGAAGGGGCTGCTCGCGAGCTCATCGAGCAGCTTTCGGGGGTCTGTATTGTCGGGCGGCAGGACCCCCCGTTGATCTTGGTGAGCCCCAGCTTGGCGTCGCCGTGGTTCTGGCTCGCGTAAGGGGCCTTGTGCCTGGACACGCGGCGAACGTACAGAAATCAGCAGAAATACGTGCAGGAGCACGTGGTTCATTGGTCGAAGTGCCCGCTACAAGCAGAAAGGAGATGCTCTGATTGTACGCGCATTTGAGGGGATTCCTGGTTTTGTTGCTTATCAGAGTGGAAACGTCTGAATCGGCCTTTTGAAAGTGGCCTGGAAGCAGGGAAGAGTTGGGAGGGCGCTTTGCCAGAGGTCTGACCTACAACGGAACTCAGGATCCATCAAGAGAAGAACTTTCAAGGTGCATCGATTATGTTAACGTCTTTTGGTGGTTCACAAGTTGTACGCTGCAGTTCCCAAACGGCAAATTTCGAACCACAAAGACGAACGATTGAACCATTGATAACCGACTCATCTGGATCGTTCGAAGCTTTCTGATGAAGGCGTTCCCAGCAAAGGCTTGCTCATGACGTCACTGGATTTAAAGGGTCATTTGCGCCGCTCGCGCCGCGCGGCGCTCAACAAACGAACAGCATGTCCGTGACGTCACGTGGCTTACGTGATCATTTGCGTCATCCGTGCGGCGGGGCTCAACGGGTGCAAGAGCTTGTTCTTCAAGTCTTCACCCAACGTACCGAGATTGGCTTGCGTCGTGTACCTGCCACGAGTTGAAGAAGGAAAGATTACGGGTCCAGCTTGACTGGGGGAACCGCAATCCATGGCAAGAATGAGATGCGTACAAGCACAAGAGTCTGAGCTGTCTCGCTTTCAACCGGCCGCCATCTGAGCGACGATTCTTTACATCTAGCCGCTTGTCGTTGTAGATCGCGTGAAAGTTACAGCAGGAAGATCCGTCCGAGGTGAGCGCTAAAGGACATGCTAAACGGCCCCAAATTCAGCGACTCACATTGCGCCTCTGCAAGCCTAAGCGGTTTTATATGAATTGTCATTCTCCCGGAAGCTCGACCATTCCGATCAAGACCGGTCTCCCCGATCGAGCGAGTCTTCAAAAGCGTACATTATGAAAGTCGCCCAATCTTGACTCCCCGCCTTCGCGACTGCCCCGCCCTCAAAGCGTTGACCTGAAGTGGGCGTATCTCGCAATTGCCCTTCAAACCCAGAAACCCATGTTTCAGTCACGCTTGACCCGGCAACCGGTCTACCTTTCAGCTACTTTTCCAATCAGACGAAATTAAAGAGTCTCGCACAAGTCGCAAAGAGAGTCGCACCCATTCCAGATCCTTCTCCACGCCGCCTGCATGGCGTCATACCCGAGCTGTGCTTCGACCTGTTCCAGGTAAAGCTTCACCGCCTCGACCGCCCACGCGCCGTGGCCGTCCGAAGCGTTGTCGATCCCTGCTCAGAGTCCGTATGGTTTCGTTTCAAGAGTGTCTCAGCTCCGTCATGATTGAACGAGAGATTGAACTCAATGTACCGAACCCGGTTTGCTTTGGAAGACAGATCTCGTATACAAAAGGGAAGGGCATCTCATGCATTGGTGCGACAGACGTACTAAAGGCACTGTGACGTTCCGCAACAGGGTCTGGCTGCAGCCTATCCAACGGCAAGGCTCATGGGCGGTTGGAAAGAGAGGGAAAGACTCCTTAGAAATTGATGGTTCGCAAGTTGTCTGACGAGAAACGCATAGGCGACTTCAGCTCGAGTTAAAGTCAGTGGTGACCTTAGATTGCAACATCTCCGCAATTTATCATCTCCGGATATATTTCGAGGTCGCTTTCATTGGAAATATTGCAATATCCAAGCTAAAACCTTAGAAAATGAGCCTGAAGCGGCCAGTAATTTCAAAGCGTCACGGGCGCCTCTGCGGAAAACAAATGCAAATCGAGTTCAAGCGAAGCAAGCAGTAAAGACTCACGAGGACCGGCTTCGCTCGATTCTCAAGAACGATAGAACATCCACCGTTGCCGTGCTTACGTCTCACCTTTGTGCATGACATAGAAATGAAAGTTGACGCCGTAGCAGTCGAGGAGCTCTTGCTTGCGTCTCACCGTTGTGCATGGTCTCAAAGTAGTGCGAGTTGGCACCGTATCATTTCAGGAGCTTGAGGCTCAACTCTCACCTTTGTGCATGACGTAAAAGTGCGAGTTGACGCCGTAGTAGTCAAGTAGCTTGATGGTGGTTGTCAGATCCGGCCCCGCGAACCACTCGAACTGCATCGTGATGCCCAGGATCTCCGGGAAGAACTCTGGCGTGTGGCGCGAGATGGACGCCTGCCACGTGGCGCAACTGACGTCAGCTCCGAAGAGAAAATCTGGCAGAGTGTTCACGGGTCTTCCCCAGATAAGGCTCCGAGAAAGGACAAGAAGGAAGCCTCAAAGTGACCAGTTTGACCCTTATGGGCTTTATATTACCATTACCCCTACCCCCCGAAAGAAGACTTTTCAGTCAGCTTGGAAGCTGCCAGTCTTTCCTTGTCAAGAAATTGAAGATTGCACAGACTCTCGGCGGAAAGAGACGAGGTTGTTGTTAACGACGAGATGGACTTCCTTCCGAATCCCTATGGTTGCAACTATCATCATGCACAAAAGCCTGACATACTTGGAGCGCGCTGGCGAGTCCTCTGTAAGCAGATGCTCACACCCACTCACAGAGCGCGACACAGTACTTTCATCATGCTAAATTTGCCGAATCAAAATGTCGTCATACAACAGAATCATATGAAAAGATGCCAACTCAACTCTCGCATTCTTACCTGGTATGCTGGCATCGTGAAAGCTGAGTCCAGGAAGCGGGGATCGTTGGCGAACTCCTGGCTGGTGTGCGGGTAGGGGTAGAAGCCTTCCTGATGGCATAGGTCTTTCCAGATGTTGCAGTGGTTCTTAGTTGGGTCGCCGTTACCCAACTCGTCCTGGAGAATGTGAAGCAGCAGCGACTGGACTTGGTCGACCGGGCCGCCTGGCATAGCACGTTTGAAAGAGAAGTGATGATGAGAGCTCTTCGTTTCTCTTCGTACACTTCGTTGACTGAGAAGGGAAGATGAAGCGTGCAGTAGTGGCTGCAAGAAACTTGAGTCAAGCAATCATTGCAAAAGTCGACCAGTCAAGAGTAAGCCAACCTGAACGAAGTTTTTGTAAAGCTCGAGAAGGCGCGTATTGAAAGAAACGTTTCTTGCGATCTGCATTCGCGAATCAAAGCGCAAGTTGCATGTACGTTACTGATCGGACATGGACTCAGCGAAGGAATGCGCTCGTCGAGGCTTGCCGCCCGATTCCACTAGAATGAGGACGTGAAAGCCATATAGTGTCTACTTAAGTAAGCGGTCAAACGTAAGGACTCGGTCTCATCCCAAAGTCAGACAGGCCACCACGACATGATCACGCCTTCGAATCAATTCTTTATCTCGCTGCAAAAGTGGCCGCTTCTCACTCGTGTTGTGGACACCCGAGAGCCAGATGCCGTCGGTGATGTTGAAGGGAGTGAACTGGACGATGCGCTCGTCACAGTCTGCTCGCGACTTGAAAACATTCAAGCCCGACCAATCGTTTGCCGGATGCGTTGCCGGATCGTACTCGTTGGCCTTCTCCATGTGGGTGGTGTAAATATCGGCCAGTCTTTGGTCCAGGGCCGCCTGGATAAGAAGACGGCAAGCGAGTTAGGGGGGGGCAAGTCGGATTTTAAGAGGATGTAAGAACTCGTCAAAGGAATGATCCAACGGAGTGAAAAGGTCAAGGATAGCTGGACCCTACGCAGTCTCGGCAACAGAGATTCGTAGGGATCAGGCAAAATCTGACGTGGTATCTAGTTACTTTGCAGCCTCCTAACGCCAAATTGAAAGCGGAAGCTCCTGTTTGATCAGGCTAATGGTTGTTCTATACCAAATGTTGATCACATGTACAAAGAAGAAGGGCGTTTGATGCATTCACAAGCACCGGAACAAGATCATAGAGCTTTGCGATGGGCCATGCTCTTTCCCCTGTAATAAAAAAGCGACACATAGTCCAACAGAAGCAGATGCCATTTCAGACTCGAGCCAGACTTTCGAACCCAGCAAGTGTTCCACATCGACTCACCTCAGAGTACACAAAGCGGCGGAACTCTTCGTTACCTTCCAACCAGTCCTCATTTTCGAGCAGAGCCTCTGCGTATGCATGGCACTTGTGCACGAAAGCTTTAGCCTCAGCGAGCGCTCCTGGGTAGTCTTCCAAGTTGACGACTCTGTGGAAGAGCTGGCGATCGTAGCCCTGCATGGACAGTTCAGGCTTTGTCAGGTCAGAGGCAAGCAAAGCCGACCTTTCCAAGCTCCAGATACTTTGAAAGTGACAGATGAACACAAATCTGCGCTTGTTCCCTGCTTGTAGGAGTCAATGCATAATGCAGGGCATCTGAATTAGTTGATGATGCTATGTAGGCAGTCATCGCCTGAGCTTGTAAAGCCAGGGTGTTGAGGCAGTTGAGATTCTTTCTCTGTCTCGCTCTGAACTATGCAAGCAAAGCCTGTGTATTATCCTTGCCTGTCTGACTTGCATATTTAGAGAGTATCGCCAGCAGCGATCAGAATTCAAGCAATGAAAACACTTAAGACCCAGCTTGATCCAACGCGCAGTGAAGAACCCTTCTTGACTGGGTCTTGCGATTAGCAAAGGGAAAATAAGTGAGGCTGTAGAGACACAACAAGAAAAGCAAAGTCTTTTCCTGATGCTAGAAAGGCTTGCAAGAATGACCGCCGAAAGTCCAATCATGCCAACTGCAGGCCAATGTGGGCGGTAGCTCTTAACAAACAACAAGAAGACAAGCGTAAGCCTTTTAGCTGAAATGAGACATAGTAGAGGACCAGAATTTTGCCTTTCTTGGGAGTCCTGAATGCACAAGGTTCTTCCCTGCACTGTCTATAAAAGCACGGAGCTTCTTCTTTGGGGGAGGCAATATTAACTCTGCGTATTGAATCCAGCTCCAGAAGGTTCACAGAAAATTCACATAGTTTGAGCTTGATGCAACCGATCAGATGTTGTCAGAAAAGCTGCTTCAAGGGGAGTATAGACTTTTTCCAGTCCTTTAGTCAAGGAACCTACCGGTCGATCAGGGAAGACAGGCTGAGGTTCAAGAATTGCCCCAGCTTTTGACAGCGGAGGCTGCGCTTCGTTCAGAACAATCCTTGCAGGCGCTGTGTCCACCGTAGCCGTTGCAATTGCAGGCATCGCCACCGATCCGTGGGGGTTACCATTGCTGGAAGCTGAGCCAGGCCCCGCTGCCCCCTGTTTTGGAGCAGAAACAACGGGAGACTTTGTATGCTCTGCTTGGTTGCGCCCGGCCGTGAGCATTGAGGGATACTTGAAGAAGGGGCAACCCCCTCCGGAGCCAGCGCCCTTGCTGGCGCTGCAATAGATTGGATTCTGGATCAGATTGTAGCTGCGTTTGTTGTTAGGGATTGGTGAGTGCTGGAAAAGGATCCCTTCAGAGACAGAGGCGGAGCCATGGAGAAACGGTGCGGCTGGCAAAAGGGAGGGGCAGGTGGCTGCTGCGAGAATGGAGGCGGCGGCAGCCATCATTGCGTGAAGATCAAGAACGGAATCAGCAATATGAGCTGGCGTTGTGCGGAGGAAAAGATTGGGAGTTCTTGATTGTGGAAGCAAGCTTTATGCGAAGTAAACTGTAAAGTCGATTTCATGATCAAGCTAGCAACATCTGAAATGCATGGCTGCTCCATTATGGATTCAGAACGCCGAGCGGCATGCTCAGATAACTTGTAGCTCCTCGTTTTGTTTTCCGCAAACTTCATATTAGAACATATACACTTTTAAAGATGGAATTGAACCTGAAACACTTGCAGGCAGTGGGGCCTAGACAGCCTAGTACAGCTTTCCCCCAAGTCACAACCATGGGGTAATGGGACATTGGGAGTCGGGCTGCTCGGAACCGACTCACGTTGACAGCTGGGCTTCCCTCGCTGGTATTGATGGGTATATAATACGGGTAACGTTCGATGAAGGCAAGGCAGGCGCGTTATTACGCCGAGCGCCGCGTTACACGCAATAAATTGCGCTGATCAAGAAAGAAAGGTGCATTATGCAACTGGCAAATCCTGAGCTTTAAGCCTTTTTGGCATGCCATTTTCTTGCTATTTCGTGTGCGCCTCAAATGCGCGCGAGCGTACGCGTTCTTCAAAATGGCGAAAGCCTACGAAACCATGTCGTGCTATGAATGCCGCAGCTAGTATGACGGCCACCGCGCTAGCCTCCTGAGGCTATTCACAGGCTCAGCTGATGAAGTGTGCCTCCAAACCACTCCAAACCCTTCCGGCTGTCGTGAGATCTAGAAATGCAACGCCCCTTTGTCTAAGCTGTCCCGTTACTAAGCGAGCATACGCTGTGCGGTGTTTGTTCACCACACAATAAAGAACGTGTGCCGCTGAAACATATAGATAGACTGTCAAAAGCATATAGCGAACAAAACGCGGGCACTCGATTTGAGTGCATGATGGGTTTTCTCCGCAGTATACATCGAAGGCTGATGATTGAGACATCAAAGCTCATGGGAGATCAGGACCGAGCACGAGAAGAGGAAGGGCGAGTTGCGGCGGACGGTCGCAAGCAGCAGCTAAGGATGTGCTACAGGCGGCTACCCCGGCCACTTGAGCTTCTAAACATCACTGTAAAAAGAAAATACTGGTTTATGATTCTTCAATCGGAACGTACCTTGTAGCACGTCGTACCATATGATATCATGAGGCGCTTGCACACGGAGACTTAGGCGGGACATATAAATGCAACGTCACTTGAACGCGCCCCTTCCGACAGTACGTCAAAACCTGATCGCACGGTGAGGGATCACTGCAATTGATAAGCGCATGAAGCGACTCCAGTGCGCATCGCCCAAAAATGCGTTACTGCACCCAGTGCCATAGCAGCGACGTTTACGGTTGACCGAAGTAACAGACCCCTGGCGAATTCGGTTCTCCATCTTCCGCTTCCATTGCGCTGACGCACATACAGATCGACACAGAAGCCGTCAACGCCTCAGGTGTTGTTTGAAGGGATCCAACAGTAACCTCGCCCCCCTGCTCACTTCCGGAATGCAGATTCCTGCCATACCTTTTTTACAACCTCTTTTCAGGAAAGTTCCGCTTAGTACACGTATATTGAATCTCAATCAAGGGAGGAGTCATCTCGAAGAGATGTTCAAAGTCACAGGTCCGTCCGGTCGGAGAGTAATGACAGGCTGCGGCTGCGCGATCCGCCCTCCGGACGGAACGGCCAGTTTCCGTCGTCGGAAGATGGTCGCCAGAACCTGGCAGACGGGGAAGCGGGAACGCTTTATATTGCAAAACAGAGACAGGATGAACGTTTCGAATTCTCGAGTAAAGGGATTGACGACAAGGCAAACCCAGAAGGCCTAAATGCAGCGAAGAGGAAAGGATTGTTGGGTCCGCTTAACGGTTCTGGCTTCAACACAAACAGAAGCAAAAGCGACTTTTATGGCGCTCTTGGAAAGAAAAGCAACGGTCAAAGCTCTCTGCAAAAGGCGTCTGCAAACATTCAGCGCAGCTAGCGCCCGCGGTGTCTTGGCCCGTCAACTTCTGAAAGTCAACTTAAAACTCAGATCGTACGAAATCCGCATCAGAAACTGAGACACACCATCCGCCACAGACTGTGTCCCGTAGCTCAAAGTTACTGCAGATCGGCTCCAAAGTGAAGTCCCTCTTCCCGTGTATTACTATCACAGTCGCAAGGTCACGGCAAGTTAGGACTTCCAGACTGTAACAGATGTCAACGGTATACCAGCCAAGCTCGATTCGAGGTCAATGTCGAGCAGATTGTAGCCAATTTTGTGAAAGTCCACGGCTTCACCAGTGATTGCTCAACAGACTGCCTTCCAGCATCGCGGAACTCTCGCAGTACTGCGCTCCCAAAGCAACGCACTTCAGGCCTCCAACCACTGTCAGCGGGTAGAGTGGTTGTCGGTCTCGATCTAGGGTCAAAGACAAGCAATTCTTTGTGTGACACATTTGTGTCACATTGTGTAACATTGTATCACGGTTCTCAAGTTTGCTCACCAGAATGCCTTCCATCATCGCGAAGCCTTCCCCGATGCACACCCGGGGCCCCGCGCCGTAAGGCCAATACGACTCGTTGTCTTTGGGCGGCTTGGCGTCCCCGCCAGGGAGCCACCGATCCGGATCAAAGCTCTCCGCCCTGCGGAGCAGAAATGATGGATGTCAGCGGAACGGAACTAGGTGTCTGAAGTCTTGAGTTTTGGAGAAGGATCCCGGGTTTGGGCGGCTTAGTGTTTCCCCCGGGGAGCCACCGATCCGGGTCAAAGCTCTCCACCCTGCGGGGCAGACATGATCAGGATCACCGGTTTTCGAATTCGAGTATATTCTTCATCTTTTCGGGGTTTTGCTGGTCAAGATCGGACATTAGGAAAAACAGGTCTACCGACTTTTCTGAGAGCGAAGGGATCCCTCGAGCAACGTGGTCCGTGAGCAGGGCCAAAAGGACCGACTGGATCCTCAGTGGCGATGAAGCACGGCGCGAAGAAGGAAACGGCAGGCCACTTTTCAGTGAGATGTGTTAAAGCCTAGATGGAGCAAGCACTGACAGTGATTTGTGTTGCTTTTCAATGGAGCAAGCGCTGATCGAAGCGACTTTGACGATGAGAAGCGGACTGGCCCAAGTCTTGTCAAAAACGCCTTTCGAAGACGATAATTCCGAAGGGGCATGAGTCCGTTCTTTTCCTTGCAGCTCGGTAAACAAATTGATTTGGTGAACCAGTGCATGGATGATATCAATATCCTCCCCCACAGTGACGGGCCACCAGAGAACCAGTCCATCGTCAAAACCTTTCTTTGATCAGCCTGGAGAACCAAGACCGTCCTCAGCCCCGAACTCCCGCAACCAGAGCCTATTCTCACCGCCTAGGCCCATTCACACTGCCTGAACCTTTTCTCACCGGGGCCAGTGCTTGGGGTCTCGGTGCAAATTGTACAAACTGATGAGCGCCGTCGTTTTGGCCGGTAGATCGTACCCCCCCAGCCGCGTCGCCGCGCACGCGCACCGCCCGATAATCCAAGCGGGGGGCGTCAGCCGCATGGTCTCCAGAACTACGGCTTCCGTGTACCTGTAGGGAAAAAGGCGCTTGCTTGCAGAATTCCGACATTTGTGCAGTTCCATTATTGACTCAAGTTTGAACTTCTTCGATCTTACAGGCAAGATGGCGGTCCAACAAGCTGGAGCGCGTCTGCCTCAAGGCTTCAGTGTTTCTTTGATGACAAGACGCAAGCGATGCACGTAAGTGATCGCAAAATCCTCCCTTTTTGTCCTGCAATATAGTCTCTTTCCTCTACAGACAACGAACCTGACAGCAAGCAGCGCCGTTTGCAGACGACCGATTTCCTTTACTTTCCGCTAATCTGACAGTTGGGCCGTGGCTCCGCTTCTGAAGTGTTGAGACTGTACGATCCCGAGTATGTGTCCACCTGCTCCTACATCAGAACTTGAGCGAGCTCCTACGTCAAGTTTCAGCGAGCCCGTCCAGCCCGGTGGTCAGGTTCCAAGAGGAGGCGTCATCTCACTTGAGCTTCCCCGCGTGCGCACTGCTGACGTCAGCACCGCCAACCACGTCATCGACCTCCTTCGCGATGCGCTCCTGCATGTGCGGATGCTGCGCTAGGAACAGGCACGCCCAGCTCAGCAGGATTGCTGACGTCTCCTGGCCCTGCAGAGACGTCGGGGCCACGTCAGCGAGGGAGGCGACGCAACGTCAGCAAACAACAGAGAAGAGAGCCGCTTTCGGGTTGGAGAATTGACGGACTCACAATCGTCAAGCTGATCAGAGAATGAACGGAATCGAGGGTCGGATGGAGCGAGACATCCGTAACAGCCCCAGAGTGTGACAATTTGCTTCAAGAACCAACCGGCATACTGAAGTCAGCAATGGGCGGAGGAGACAGGTGCAACGTTGATCAAGGATCTGAAATTCGTTGCTCGACCAGGACAGCGCGAAAAGCTGGCGCTCCCGAGGCCGAATCCCGCGTGATGACGTCAGCAAGCTTCCTTTTTACGACGATCCCTCGCACGACGAGTCAACAAGGAAGCGTCGGATGACGTCAGCGCGCTCACCGCAATCATGAGCGTCATCAGTTCGTCGCGCAGGCTCTGGTCGTCCATGGCGGTGCCGTCGTCGTCTCGGACCTGAAACAAAAACGATACTCTGCTGACTTCATTTTTAAGAACTCCTTACGTTCCTTTCATTGCGTAAAGTGCTTTCGTGGAACGAGCTTTTTGAGCTGCGAATCTAAATCGAGCAGACGCAAAAAACGAGCCGTCCGGTTTCATCTACATATGACGAACTGCTGACGAAGAGACACTTCGGTTGCTCCTGCGAAGCTGGAGAATACACCTCAATGCCCCTTTTATTAGTTGTGAAATCATCCAAGAGCAGGTTGCAGAAGAAGAGTCCAACCTTTGACAGCTGTTTCATTCGACAAACCGTACCAAGCACCGCGACAGAACGGAACAAAAGCAGAAGGAACGAAGCAGACCAAACCTGACGTTAGCACGGGGCTTACTTGCAGATACTGCGTCAGCAGATCTCGGAACCTGCCTTCAGTCCCTGCATCCCCTTTGCTTGCGGACGCTAACAGCTTTCGCCGGTCGTTTATGAGCCGGTAGATCGCTCGGTCTAGTTTCTCCACGGAAAGAGTGTACTGGACGTTATCGGGGGTGGGGAACCATTCGGGAACTGCGTGAGGAGGCTTCCGCGTTTCTGAGTAACTTTTATTGGCTGAGAGATGAGAAGTTTAAACTGTTCAAACACTTTTACGGTTCGAAACCGGAAAGTCTCCAGGAAGTAAGTCAAGGTAATGGGAAGGGGCACAGTCGGTGAATCAAAGTTTTGAAGAAGTAAGTCATCTTGAAAGGGAGGAGCACAGTCAGTGAACATAAGACTTCGAATACAACACTCAGCGGACAGTAAGGAAACAAGCTGTCAATTTGCGCATTGTTACGAGCTTGACAGACACGCAGAGTTATTGGTGACCACTGGAACATGCATGAAACCCACCGATGAGGTCAAAAGACGGTTTGTGCGTCAAAGGCTACTGAAGTTGGACTGCAAGGCCGCCTTGCTTGATTTCGAAGGGAGATCCAACTGTGTGAAAGGTATTGAGGTACGGTGCAGATTAAATGACAGTAGCAAAAGAAATGAAGATGACAATGCTCATGGTTGAAGGCATCCGCCTTCGAATCTGCATTGGCAAGTGAGACGTTGCTTATGCAAATTTCCGAGCTTGGCTGATCACATTGTATGAAAGGAGGTCTGTTAGCGAAAAATCTTTGGTGGAGGGCTCAATGGCAAAAGCATACTATTATTCGACTCGAAAGGAGGCCAATTTAATAAGGCCCGTCAGAGAGTAGGTCAAGCTGGCGGCACTCGCTTCGGAGGGCCAGCACAATTCTTTACTTCGTGCACCAAGAGCGACAAAGTCAAAGGCTCAAGTACACCATGTGTTGCTTCCATCTACAGGTGAGTCGTTTTATTCTGCCCCAAGTCGATGTTCGAGCAAGTACAGCTCACCTATTAGCATGCTCGTCGCTCGCCGCTGAAAAAACTCAAATGCCGCAGTGATTGCCGGCACGACCTCCTCCATGCCCTCCTTTCCACTATTTCCAAACAGTGCGCTAACCACAATGCGAAGTGTCAGTAGCTTGAAGTCCTCGAACAGGTCCCGATTCGCTGGAGGCCGCCACTCGGAGTCGAGCATCTCGTTTGTAAGGTCGACCATAGCCTGCGAGGAGCATCATATCTACATTCGTATCACTCTCTTCGATTTTTCCAGATCTCTACTTCAGCATCAGTTTTGGAGCATAAGGGATGAGGAATCAATGATAGGAGGTAGCAAAACGGGGGTCATATGATCCTAGAACGGCTGCCGATGGAGGGCGCACGAAAAAGGCGCAAAATTGGGTTTGCCTTAACCCGAAGGTTTGTGAGAAGACCGAAGTCTTGCTCTCGTCCTTGTCAAGGGAGTTGCTAAACATCTCTCCTCTCAACGTAACTCGACGAACACATAGGCTACAGACCTGGCAGGGCTATAAACTGGGTCCGACCGGAATTACAAATCTGTGGGCGGGTACGGTCACGCGTACCGTCGATTGAATTCGATCGACGGTCGAAATTCCAGACGCCGAGTTAAATCGCAATTTACTACAAGAGACTGATCTTCGGCAGCCATTTGCACAAAACATTGCGCGCGAGTGCCTGCTTAGACTGCTGGTCACTTAACCCTTATAACCCTAGACTGCGGGTCAGAAAGGCAGGTACCAATTTCGGGTACAAGGAAGCAACGCAGCCACATGCAACGTAGGGCCAAGTAACACGCTCTCAAGAGCCCCTCCTCCCAAAAAGGACCAACCAAACCTCCCTCGCAATTTTCATGCTGGACTAGTGTCTAAAAAACCCAAAGCTTCTGGGTATTGAATAGCGAAGAACTGATGTTGCGAGCAGACGGTAGCTGCTCTGAAGCGTTTCAAGCAGCGGCTTCTTGTTTCAAGCTCATAACCACAGCCACAGGCAATTTAGAAGCAAATGATGTGTTAAAGGTGGATCATGATGCGAATACTTTTGCAAAGTCGTTATAAAGCAAGAAGGTGCAGCAATTCTTGAGAGACAACTGGTCCTGACTGAATTTAAGGTGTTTGACTTGAATGCGTTGTCAAGCGGATCAAACGTAATTACAGGTACCAGCTGGCGCATCTTCCGCGTGTCAGTTAACTAAAGATGTTTCGTGACCGACGGGCCAGGTGCAGTCACTGAAACAGTTGTGCTATGAGAGGAGGAATGGTTCAGACCAAACACAATTGAGGACGAAGGGCCGAAGACACCATACACAATAAGCAGGCGAAGAAAAGGTCGAGCAACATATGAAACAGGGGAGAGCATAGTTGCTACTCCAAACAATTTTTAACGAAAAAAACCCAGCGAACAAACCGATAGGAGCCTTACTTTGCCATACGTGTCCACTGCGGCTCGTCGAAATGCGGGGTTGGACAGCCTCCGCTGCCGCTTCCAGACGTCGCCGTCGCTGACTAAGAGGCCATTCCCGGCCAGGCTGCTCCCAGGGAACAGGGCCGTTCCGGACTGCGACATAGAAGCAACAGAAGTCTTCTTCAGCGGAAGCTCGCTTATAATGTTGGAACACTGCTGTTGACATTAATGTTGGAGCAAGACCTAGCATGGACCAATTCTTTCAATAGGAAGGGGCCTCTGAAAGAATCGCAGGTAAGGGCCGAATCGGAAGAGCTCGCAGAGCCTTCGTTTTGAACCCGCCACACCGTATTTGTTTTGGCCACTGAACATTATTACCCTGATGTCAGCAAAAAGCAACGAACTGATGCTCTATCATCGAGCTCAGAGTACGTAAAATCCAAGCGTAGTTCGAACCAAAGATTGAGACCCTGGTGCAGCATTGCAAGAAGCTCTCAACGGCTCTAGTAACTTTCCGGTTTGTAGTGGAGCCTTAGAGGCGGAGGCTTGACAGCATTGCTTTGGTGATGCCTTAGCAGCAATGAGGAATAAGCGCTGCTAATTGCAGCAAAGAGCGATCTCTAGGGCTTCGGCAGGAAGGATCGTGTCCTGCTTGTTGCTTTCCGCTTGTTTTTCGTTCTCAGCTCCTTCAATGATTGCAACTGTCTTGAAATTGAAACTATTCGACCCTATTCCAGGGCTTTCAAGGTCTCACCTTGATGAAGATGGAGGACTGGTCGATCATAATCTCTTTAGCGAGCTTCCTGCGGGGCAAGTGTTGGGGACGTGTCAGTAGCGGTACGCATCAAGTGGAGCGCATTTGACTGAAGTGTAAAACAGACTGCCTATTGGGGAAAGCGACTTGTCAACAAACGCTCAACCACTGCAGTGCAACTCAGAAGCTTTTCCTGGAGATCAGATTTGATGTTCTTCAAGGTCGGATACGAGACACAAAGGGAAGATCTATCCAAGTAGAGGATGTCAACGAAAGCTGAGGCGTACACTGCAAACAGTTTCAACACACCGATGGAGACTTGACTCTGTAATACCGATCTAAGAGGGTGCCACACCAAAGATTCACGAAGATACTCACGGGTCACTGACCAACACAACATTCTCCCCCGCCAACTTGAACCCCGCAAAGCCCCCGTACTGCCTCGTCGTGTCCTCGATAAACCTGAGGGGATCCCCCGCCATCGCTAGTGCTGCGTCCCCTGACGGTCCTGGGGGCAGCCCTGGGGCGACAGGTGTCAGCAGGTTTTGCACCCGGGTTGCCGCGTCCTGAGCCGTTTCGACAGCGTTTTGTAAGCTGCGGACCTGAGGTAAGATGGGGGAGGGGTTAGCCTGAACTTGATCTGGTTGAGACCAAGGTTAGCTGGACCAAACCTACAACCAAACCTCAGGAATAAATTTGAGAATTTTGGGAGAAGGTTAGATTGGACCAAACCTTGAACCACACCTCAATGACAAGTTTGAGAATAGTCTGGGGTCAGCCAAAAAATGGCTTTCGAACCAAGGGCACATATGGGAGTCATTATTTTGTTAGTAGAACTCGACCGGAGTATGTTGTTTAAGAATGCACCACCTTGGAAGTTTGGTTGGAGTTGACCAGGGTGAGGCGGCCCAAGCCTAGCGGTCCGCGAATGTCAATGAGCGCACGAGCACAGCAGCTTTAAATGTGGGCCGTCAACAGGCTCCTTTCCGAGACCTCCCCACTCTCAGAAAGGCAGGCAAACGAATCCTCAATTACTTTCTGGAAATGAATAATCCACAATTTTGCAAACCTGTCCCTAGAAATCCGCGGGCGGCACCACCCTGTGTCCACGTTACAAAGAAGCCTTCTTCCTACACGGATTTGCCGTTTTATGTTGATTTGACATCATACCCACAGTCTCTGTGACTACCACCAACTACATTGCTCCCACCACCACTTGCAGCCCCTTTCAGCAGCCAAACACAAAATGCAATCTTTTCCTGAAGTCCCGCTAAGAACAGCTGATCAAAGTAAAACAGTCTTTGCCCAAAAAACTCCGCCAACATAGTAATAGACCACGAGAGACCAGGGAAGAGCTGGGACTGAGAACAGGCTGAGTCCAAAAAGAACTTCAGTCCAGCTTAAAATTGGATTCAAGTATAAGATCAGGAATAACCTAGGATTTGGGTGTAGTTAAGCCCCAGTTACTGACCTGCATCTTCCAGCTGACCGCCAGCAGCGCCTGGACCAGCTCAGTGTCCCCGGGACCAGGGCCGCTCACAAGCCCCGTCAGCGACTCCAGAGCGCGTCCAAGATTTGCCACGTCCGGCCACCACCCATCGCCCGAAACTGAAATGTTCTCCGCTGCAGCTCCATTTGTTTCCATTCGAACAGCCTCCGATGGTTGATACGCTCTCGTGCTTTCCGTCCTGCTATTCCTGAGAGATTCTGCGTTTGCCTCTGAGACTTGCGTGTCTCTGACAGCTTGGCTGGGCGTGACTGAGGGGGTTTCTTCCTCATCAAAAATAGGCTGCCGCCGCCGCCGCCGGCTGCCAAGGCCCGCCAATTGTGAGCTAAGAGTCGAGGTGTCGGCCAATTCTTCCGTCACCGGAATGCTTGCGTCGTCCCTGCGCTTACGCCCACCTCTCTCTGGGAGCGCCTGTGCGGTGATTGAATTCAATCTCTTGCTAGCGGCATTCTGCTGGCAGCTTTTATTGACGCGGTGGTCAAAGATACATTGCAATGCTGGATAGCAGCAACTTTGAGCAGAAATGATACATAAGGACTGTGATGGCCAATTAGTGGCCGAGTTGAAAGAAACAGCATTGGGAGCTGCTGCGGAACAGAAAGTGCCGATGTGACTTGTCATCTCTGCACCAGAATGTGCGCGCTGGCTCTGTCAAAAGCTTTCAGAGTTGGAGGCGTGTTGAGGTTGTATGCAGATAACCTTGTCAATGCTATTGGCTGCGTCCCCTTCCCAACCATATGAGAATGCTCTTCCAAAACTAGGTACCTCACACGGGTGCTCATCTGCAACTTTGCTTCGTTCACTGGCCGTCAGTGAAGGCAGAAACTGACAAGCGCGCCCGCCGCCCCACCAAAATCGACGGTGACGTGAGCCTTCTTGAACCCACAAGTACATTCTTTGCCCGTACGCAGGTTTATAGGGCCAAGTCTAACCCTGATTACGTTCTTCGGAACACTCGATAAAATTGGAAAGATACAGAGAAGATTAGCATGGCCCCTGCGCAAGGATGACACGCACAAATCGAGAAATGGTCCAAATTTTTTAGCTGTTTCGCCAATCAAGGCCTTCTTCCATCCTGCTCCCTCGAGGTTTGTAGAAACTTTTGGCGAGCACTAGCATTTAAGTACGCCAACTGGGATGCCAACAATCGAGTTGTACCTACAAGCGGTCAAAACGGACATGGGGCAGCGTCGCACAATAGCGAAATTGAGCCTATTCATACAACGGCCCGGGGTCAAGGACGGTTGCTACATCGAGGCAATATTAGAGCATCTATGATTGCTTTCCAAGCTACAGTAGTTTTCTTATCTTCGTCTGCGGAAAGCTTGTGCACCGGCAGCAGATTCAATCAATCGTAGGCAGCGATCCGGTCAACATGTAACTTGAGAATTAGAATCGCAAAGCAGCATGAGAAGTACGAGCTTTGCAATAATTATAGTACGTTCAGAACAGTGGAGCATATATATACTGACATAGCAATCCATGTTTGTTTGATACAATATAAGCCAATTACTTAGCTTCTATATATCATCGCAGCGGTCACCCCATATGGCAAAGTTGGTCGTCATTTAGACATATCTTCGTGTGCTATATATTCGGATATTACGTCATCATCTTCATGCTATGATCGGATGCTCATATGTTACATGATCAACTTCATGCTATTCGATCAGATCATCAGATGATCATTGGCATGCGTCGAACTTCAAGTATATACCATGGTATAATCAATGTTTGTTAACATCGATGCTTCAGTTGAAACCGGAACCTTTAACTCTTTGATGGCTGCGGCACATCATATACACAGATCTTCTGTGACAAATTTACGACGTCCTCGTTGACGCCCCTCTTCGTCGAGATCTCGTTGGGGCCATCTCCCACCCCTCCGCAACTTCTTCTTCGCTCAATTTCGGGAGCGGCTCCGCTGGTGGCCGACTGTCCACTGGCGCTTCTACCTCCATCCCGTCTGCTGACATCGCGCTACTAGTTCCAGACCGCTCTTGGTGCTGTTCGGACGGACCTGCGTCTTCCATCCCGTCGACGCCCTCTGCCGGTTCTAAGGGCTCTGCTAAGTCGAGCTGCAGATGAAGAATGGAGACTTCAGATAGAGAAGAGAAAGTTCAAGTTCGTAAGGAGTCGTCTGCCAGTCTCGGCAGAGGACAGCCGTCTACCAGTAACACTTAGATTGCCACCAAGCAAAGTACGATGACAATAATACGACTAAGCTTGGCTCCGAAGGGGTGGCCCTAACAGGCGGGACATACGTGCGATGGCCTGAACAGTTGCGGCCTCACCAACCTCTTTGAAAAGTACAATTAGGAACACAGATGCGACAGGATGATCTGCGCCTTGCCCCAATAGGAAACTATAGTTCACAGAAGGTGCACCCCACCTTGCACAACCCATTCCTCAGGCAGTCAAAACTCTTGTGATACCTCGAGCACCAACGCCTTTATAGTCCTACCAAGGATCGGTGACCGAGAACACCTTGACGAACCCGCTTCTTGTCGAAGTTCAAACCTCTCAAATTGGAGAGATACTATGTACTGGCCAGTCAAATTGGGGACTTAAACTTCGACTAAACCAAAGGAACTCGGAAGCGTATCAAGGCACCCTGGGCGCCCTGAAAACGATGCTACTGCTTCTCAACGGCAAACTTGGCTGCTATCTGCAGAGTGGAAACCCTTCTCGGAAAGAAAACAACTCTTGAACGCGCAATCAACCCCCAGATTCGGCTGCCCCAAGCGGGCGAGACGCCTTTGGAGAGCAAAAACTCTACCGAAAACAGTGTATCCGTCTGCTGCGAAATACTCTTATGAAGCTAAAAGCAGGCATGTGCCATATGTACTCGCTGCTCATCAATACAATTCCCCTCGCCTTTACTTTGCGGTCCGGGAAACAATGTTACGTTGCCGGTTCCTCACCTGGCTGCTCTGCGCCAGCGCCCCCCTCCCCTTTGCGGCAGTCGCCTGGAGCCGACGCACCTCATTGTAGTTGCCTTGCGCACAACCGGTGTACACACCCACCAGCAGCTCGGCGACCTGGGGCCAATTCGAGCAACCTCAGGACTTCTTCTAAAGTTATTTCTTATAATAATAGAATCCTTCACTGTCCGAACGAGTCATGTCTTCTCCGAATCATGTCTTCCCCGATCTCAAGAGGTGCAGACTCAAACGGGAGTTCGCTAACACATTCAAAGCGGAAACAAGATCAAAGTGTATGAAAGTGCAGAACAGTGGTTGCGCTGCCGCAAAGAATCTCTGGATGAAAGCACACTCCGATGGTTCACTCTGAGTTTGAACATGCTAGGGCCTCAGCTAACCATTCGCTTTCTAACCATTCGCTTTCATGCAGCACCCAACATCAGAGTTTGAAGAAGACTGCTAATGGGAAGTTTGTTCTTGACATTTCAGCCTTTGCTTTCCGAGCGGCCTTACCTCCAGTATGCTCCCATCCTCTGCCTCCGTGTTGAAGCCTTGGACCAAGGCATCATCCAGCATAGGCTCCAAGTCATCAGAGTAGAATGGAGCTGCAAAAAGGGGGAACAAAGGGATTTGACCTTGAGAAACTAACCAAATCTGTGGCCCAGATGTTCACAGAAAGTTGGGTGTCAGCTAAACATCGAAAAACGCACATATGAGATTCCTCGACTGCCTACAATCTTCACAAGAAGAAAAGAAATGGTAAATGTACGACAAGTGTGAGGTTTGACTGGTTTAGGGGGAAATGCGCATGCACCTAACTTCAGATTCGGGTTTGTAGGTTAATTTCAAGTTTGGGGCACAATTGCGCTTCAGAAAGCAATGCATGAGCAGGGCCTATGGAATCAAGGAAGGGGACCGCTAGATGATAGACGCTGCCCTCTTGATCTTGAGTTTCTGCAGCTCACCCTAGGGGGAAAAGGCCTGCGAATCACCTGATCATCATTCTAGTAGTTCCACCAACATTAAAAAAAGTTGATCAGAAGAAGGCAGACACTTCCGAGCAATAGATGATCACAACAAACCTGAAGACATGATTGAATTCACCACAGTCTACAAGTGTGATTTTGACAGGACACCCTGCGGCCACATTATGCTGCTGCATATAGAGCTACTCTAGATGATTTGTTTTAGATAACCCTCGATAGACCCATATCTTGCAGGGTCATCATTACCAAAAGGCATCAGCAGACAAACCCTGCATCATTTCTGGACAGTCCGCGCACACTAACAGCGAAACGGGCTCAACTACCCACTGCCAACTTGTGCGCTGAACGACGGCACTATCCACAAGGCATCTGTTGAAGTTTCAATCAAACGTGTGAATTATTCCAAGGCCCTTTCAGAAAAAACAACACGTCACCACTCACGCTTGCCCCGATAGAACCAGTTCACGACATCCCCCTCTAGTTGCTTCAGCCTCTCCCGGCTTCTTGGGCCCCCCCACTCGTTCTCCACTGCCAGCTGCAATGCCGTCCAAGTACCCATGCACAAGCGAACGCCCTCCCGGAACCAGGCGTCCTGCTCTGCAGGAGTGGGTGGCGCAACCACCGTGCCGCTGCGCAGCTCCATAACTGCGAGCTAGCTACAACCTTATCACTGTGAGCTGAGGAGCCGGTGGCAACACCCACTCTCCCTGGTTGCCTGCCTGCAGAACTAAAAGATGGCCGGCAGAAGCCAGAGACACACACACACGAGCCAGAGAGAACTTGGACTTGAAGGTTGAAGAGCTCTCGATCAGTTGTGCTCAGCACGATGCATGTGTAGGATATGCTGCCATGGCAGGCTCTACACCGGTCGAGAGTGGTAACAGTCACACCATCTCGTCAGATAGAATCCGACTGTGAACGGTAATGGTTTCGCTATTTAATGTACACTGCCAACAGGGCTATGACCTTGTTCTTCTTTCCCGAGCCCTGACTTTCCGTAGAACGCGGCGCTTGCATTACAAACTGAGTTGGCGAGAGTTCCATCTTCAACCTGAGACACGAAGCTCGCACTCCTCGTTGGTGGTTCATGCATCTAGGACTAGCTTTCAAGTTTCAGATCGCTGCTTCAGAGCAGACCAACACGTTCAGAGCAGAGAGCTGAGCAACTGCAAGGCGCCATTTGTGTGCCTTTTTGAGACCAGTACTTTCTCCAATCACAGGCTAATCTCTAAAAGGATCTTGTGAAGAAACCTACAAACTAGACTGGCCTTCTGTGCACACCATGGCCACGGCCCACGCTGCCTCTCGGGCAGCCCTTCTATCCCCCCCTCCTTGCAAAGCACGTCGCACCTCCCACAACCCTCATCCCAATGCTGCCGCCGCCAGGTGTTTCTCAGGCCCAGGGCAAATATCTCAGAGCTTCGATGGCACGCAGAAGCAGTTCTTGGGGGTGAGGTGGGATTCGTCTTGGGTTTTGAGAAGAAGCGCAATGCCGCCAGCTTGTAAGAGAGCCGCTGTGAGAGCGATAGCAGCTCCAGAGCGGGCGGCGGCGACGGTCTCGGCCCCGGCGAAGTCGCTGGGAGACGAGACGCGGCCTGACTTTGCTATTCTACACCAGGTCGGTGATTAGTTTATGGTTCTGTGATTTGTTGCCCACTTGGACAGCGGTGATGAAGTGTGTGGGTGTGTCATGTTGAGGGCGTATGTCAATTCTCAGCTCCGTATTCCCCAGATGGGCTGAGATCGTTACTTCCATACCCTCAAGTTATTGATGTACCGGAGCCCTGTTGTCTTTCAGTTATGTTGTTTTCAGGGTTCACTGAGTGGGTTGGTTCATAGCATTGCTGGAAAGGTCCTCGAAAGCAGCAGAACAACTAAAAACCTCTTGTCAGGAATCTAAGGATTCGGAAGAATGATCCAAGAATGGATTCCTAGAATTGCGAAGACGTATGCATTGAAACTCTGACTGCACAAATTGAGGGGGCCATTCAGCTCCTCCCCCTTAACAAGGCTAACGGACAGAGGAGAGGAATTGGAAGTCGACACCTGCCAACTCATACTTGTAAGAACTGACAGGCTCGAGTGAGCCACTGTTGAGTGACAATGTCACTTCAACTTGCTCTTCTTCATAGACCAAGGGCAGCCTGCACAAACAGAGGAGATAGAATTGCAGACACGAAAGGGTGGAGTTTGACAAAGAGTCAAGTCCTTTACCTAAAAGAAAGCGTTGTTGTTCGGCATATGTACTTTATATACATAAAATACAGAATTTATCTTTATATTTATTGCAGGAGGTGGAGGGCAACCCACTCGTGTACCTCGACAATGCGGCGACGTCACAAAAGCCACGCCAAGTGCTCCAAGCGCTTGAAAACTACTACAAAGGGTACAACTCAAATGTGCACCGGGGAACGCACAAGCTGAGCGCGATGGCCACCGACGAGTACGAGAAGGCGCGGATCAAAGTTGCAAAGTTCGTGAACTCTCCAACCGACCGGCAGATTATCTTCACGCGGGGTGCGACGGAGGCGATCAATCTGGTGGCGTACAGTTGGGGGCTGAACAACCTGAAGGCGGGGGACGAGGTGAGATTTAACACATTGATCTTTTGAACGGTTCGCTGCAAAAGAAACTTTTTGAGAATATCTCCAGTGGGAAATTTTCGGCAGGGTAGAGTTGGGGCTGATCAACACGAAGCCGGAGGACGAGGTGAGTGGTGACACCGTTAAGCTCTTGATCAAGTAGACCAAGCATTTTTCGTGTTGTGGTGTCAAGGCTGCTGACCTTCTCTCTGGGGCTGACAACTGGCAAGAAACAGGAGGAGGTGGCTTGACTTGACACCGTTCTGGCAAGAGTCGAATGGCCTTGCTTCAACGAGTCTTTTTCTTGCTGGCCGATGCTGCTCATGGTTACACACAAGTTACACATGCTGGAGGCCTTCTCCAGCCGGTGCCTCAGATCATCGTCAACGTCAGCCGAGAAAGGCCACTTGTTCACACATACTGGCTGTGGGGATTGGCTTTGGGGACCTGCCAGGCAAAATATTCATTGTTGCGCAGATTTGACAGGCTAGTAAAGTTTCAGTGGCAGTCCCCGAACGGTGGGCTGGGAGATGTTGGTCAAGAGTTTCTCGGCCAACGCCGCCGTCAACGGCGGGCGAAAGTTGGCCGATCCGGCTGCTGAATGGAGCTCTTCCGGCATGTGTGACCAGTTTCAGGTTGTTTACATGGCTGTTCCCAAAAACACCTCAGGCTGGCACCAACGCTGCCCACCTTGCTCTTCCAAGATTGTCGAACTCAATCGGAGGCTAAGCAGGAGCGACCGTCATCAGGACTCAAAAGATGGCAAGGAGAAGGTTTGAGTTGTTTGGTGGGAAAATGAGTTCATTGTCACCTTGTTACGTACGAGACACTTCAATACGCCTGGACGAACCTAACCACTAGAGACCAAGTGAAAAGAAGCCTGGACAATGTCTATCCTGAAGATAGACTTTTCATAGCTTTTGCAGATTGTGCTGTCCTAGATGGAGCGACACAGCAATATTTACTTTCATGCTCTCAAATTCCTCACCAGAGACCGAGCGAAAGGCTCCCCTAGGAGCACTGCACTAGAAAACGGCTTTTTCTTTCCTGCGCATATTGTGCTAACCGGAACGGAGCTTCACATCAGCGACCTTTCTCTGGCACATTGGAGACCAAAGGAGAGTAGAAACTCTTCAAATCACTGTTGATATTCCACCATCTCTGCAGATCGTGTTGTCCCCAACGGATAACCACTGCAAGATCCTAGTCTCACACTTGTCCGTACTCGCATCGAACGATCAAGTTTCATTTTGGACTACTTAGTCTCTCTATGTAAGAGACTGACTGATTACTTCTTTGCAGATCGTACTGTCCCAAATGGAGCACCACAGCAACATCGTGCCGTGGCAGCTGGTCGCTGAGAGGACGGGCGCACTCATCCGCTTTGTGGGCCTCACCGAGCACGAGCAACTAGACATGGAACAGTTTCGGAACGCGCTCAGCAACCGCACCAAGCTGGTGGCGGTCGTGCACGTCTCCAACACGCTCGGTGAGCGGCCGGCCGTAACGTCTGAATCCATTCGATGTCATGCATTGTTGGTTGAGTCTGCCTTGTCTACGAACTGCGTATTCCCTCAGGTTCCTCGTTCTCGTCTTCGTGGTTCCTGTGTTAGGCGCGGTCCGTGTGCGTCAGTTGTCTGTTTGAGGCCAGCAACGTGGCGGCTATTGGTTTCGCTTCACCAGCGTAGAACCAGAAGGAATTGCGGTTCAATTCTCGGACGCACACGCTTCTTAGGTTCTTTAGTATTCAGCCGAAGATATGATCCGGCTTTCGGTCTGCCTTAGACGTCGAAACCTTTGCTAGACGCCTGCCGCAGCCCCTTAACGTCAACACATGATATCCAACTCTAAATCTCTGACAGCTTGAAATTGGTAACCCTTATACTCTCAAGACTCAAATCGTTGAATCATTTCTGCGCAGGTTGCTTAAACCCTGCGGAGGAGATTGTGCGCCTATCGCACTCCGTCGGCGCGAAGGTCCTGCTTGATGCGTGCCAGAGCGTGCCGCACATGCCGGTGGACGTCCAAGCGTTGGACGCGGACTGGCTCGTGGCGTCCGGACACAAGGTGAGGACTGTAGAAATTGTCGCGGCTGCTTACGTCTCACGACGATAGTTCAGGTGTGTGAAAATTGAACCAGTCTGCTCGCTGGTCGTTTACTGTGTCACCCGCTGACGTTATTTTGTTCCTCGCAGACATTCGGCTAGACCGACACCGTTGTCCTGTCCTTCTATGAAAAAAATGACGACAGGTTTTCCGCTGCCTGCCAGTCAGATCAGGACCGAAGGCTGACGCCTGCTAATATCGACTGCCCTTCCGCTGACCTCATCTCTTCGGCTGCTGACGTCACTCCCTCGATGCATGGGCCGACAGGCGTCACCTTTCTGTACGGCAGATTCGACGCAGTTTTGGGCATGCTGCCGTGGCAATGGACGCCGAGATGATCCGTGACGTGTTCTTCGCATTTCTCTGCTGCTGACGTCACCTCCTCTCTCCTCAGATGTGCGGGCCGACCGGCATCGGCTTCCTCTACGCCAAGTGGGACTTACTTCTAAGCATGCCGCCGTGGCAAGGCGGGGGCGAGATGATTCGTGACGTGTACTTTGACCATTCGACGTACCAGGAACCGCCGTCGCGGTTTGAGGCGGGGACGCCTGCGATCGGGGAGGCGATTGGGCTGGGGGCCGCGTGCGACTACCTGAGCAGTGTTGGAATGGAGAGAATACATCAATATGAGGTCAGTCTGGCTTAAAACGTTGAGTTGCTTCCACGTCTGCCGCAATCTGAAGAGCGATCGTGTGAAGCGGGGACTGGACCGATGGTTTATGCGCGGAGTCCCTTTTGTGGGGCGGGGAATGCATCGGCACTCGCCAACGCTGAGAGTTCATCGTCTCTTTCCTTACCGTTGAGAAGGAAATGATTCAATCCTCGGTCGCGGATGTGGGCTGATTCATTCGAGTAATGCAGCCTGCGGATCTTTGCGACACCATTTTCGGGAAATCTTTCATCAATCTGGAATTGGGAATATGGCAGGAGAAGGGAGTTCGGAGGCCGGGAACGGAACGCCATGGCAAGCAAAAGCCAAGTTCTTTACACAAAAATACGGGAAGAGCTCTTTGGACAATCTTTCCCCATTTTGCAGGTCGAGGTCGGGCGCTACCTGTATGAAAAGCTGTCCGACATCCCGGAGATTCGGATCTATGGCCCGCCCCCCTCCCTGGCTGACCGGGCGTCCCTCTGCGCGTTCACAATAGAGGGCGTGCACGCAACCGACTTAGCTTCCCACCTGAACGACTTCCGGGTGAGTCTGGGGAAGCCTAGCGGATCGAGCAGCTGTTTGCAAGTTTTTTCTATTGAAACAGATTGGGGGTACTGCTGTCAGTCCGACTCTGTGGCGACAGCAAGAGCGGGTCTGTGGCGACAGCAAGAGCGGGTCCCTTACAGAATCAGTTACTTCTGAGCTCTGTTTCGACATCTGTCGAAGCTCGCATGTAAAGTGTGCGACCGGGCCAACCGCTCGATTTGCAGTGACGGTATTTCTTCTAAATGCACTGGCTTTTTCGCACCAAGCTCCAACCGCGAGCACACTTTTCTAGGCTTATTCTCGAGCACTTCCTCCAAGCACTCGCTCTTCGCTTATATCTTCCAATCTGCCGGGCTCCCCAGCACGTTCTGAAGCGCGCTCCTTAGAATAGGCTTCTAAAGACCCGAGCACACTGAAGAAGTTATGCCAAAAGGAGTTACGCTTGTGAGCCAATTCCCGTACACTTATGCCAAAACTGTTAGGCTCTCGAGCACACTCGTCCGGCGCTTATGATATTGCTTTTCTCCTAAAACCCTAAAACCCTAAAACTCTAAAAACCCTAAAACCCTAAAACCCTGCAGGGCGTCGCGGTCCGGTCAGGCCACCATTGCACTCAACCGCTGCACCGAGTGTTGGGCGTCAACGCCACCGCTAGAGCCAGCTTATATTTCTACAATAGGAAAGAAGAGATTGACGTACTAGTAGACGCCATAAGGGAAGGAATCGACTTCTTTACGGCCCCCCTAGAACCGCCCCCCGGGTTTTAGTCGCAGATGCTGTACACTAGGGGGACGAGAGGAGCGCCGCTCGTTGGCCCTTGTACATACGCATGTGATATCTGTTGGAACAACTAACTGCATTTTTGATTGCAACACGTATTGAATAGTGGGAATGAGCCTCGCTATCAAGGATTTACAGCACGAGCGCTTGCTCCGAGGAAGCACGTTGCGGGGGCGCTATGGGTTCAGTGGAATGAATGTCTCGATGCCCCTCTTGTTGATTACCTATTGCATGAAGCTAGCACTGAGCAGGTTGATATAGTAGTATCAGATTTGAAGCACAAGCAACCTGGGAATTCTTTTTTGTTCGCGGTAGATTCTTCGTTATCTGTTTGAGTCGAGCGCGGCGGTGAATTTTCGAATTACCGCCGGCGAGTCGTACGGCGGTTTTCGATTCAGTGTAAAAATTCGGGACTTAGCCGTTTTCGGAGGTCAAAATCGCCCGTACACGGGGCAAAAGTCAAAATCTGGCCGAAAAGCTGCCATAAGTCGGTCGAAAAAATTATTTGGACCAAACCCTCCGGTCAATCTCTTGTATACGCCCTCCCCATGAACTCCAACATTTTACATCGTCCAATTTGACCCACATATGATACCGACCATGTCAAATATGATCTTAAATATCAAAAAATGGCAATTCTGCGGGTAAAAATCGCCGTGAAAACACGCATACGCGACTCGGCGCGAAACTCCCTATTGCGCACGGATTTTTCAACTTTTTGCCTCTAGACTCGCAGGTTCAGGTTGCTTGTGAGGCCGGTTCTAAACTGGATATTGCATGACTTATGGGGTGAAACTTCGTAAATCCGGCCACATGCATACAACAATATATGTACGGTATAGCCGCGCTCTCTGATTATTTGTTGACATGGAAGCTAAAACATTCGGATTTGTGAATCTAGCCTAGTATACCCTGCGCAGCGGCATTGATCGAGTACAGCCGGCGGCCAGGCGCCCCGGCGGCCAGCCGCGTAAGCCGCGGCCGGGCCGAACTCAGTCGGGGGTTTCAGGTTTAGCCATTCAAGGGGGATCCGCGGCCGCGGCTGCCGGCCCGACCAACGTCCAGGCCGCGCGCGCGAATTTGTGCGCTATAAACTGCACATGGGGCCATACAAATGCCAATGGTGCAAGCTCAACCTTCAAAGTCGATCAGAGGAGCTTGCAGAGGAGCTTCTTGTAACTGACAACCAGCAAGATGCAGCGATTCACCCTGCCCCAGGCGGGCCAAGCTCACGGAAGCATCCTGAACAGACTCTGGCGGAGCCTCCAGGCGGGGGTGCAGAGCACAACTGATGCGGAAGGTGGTAAGGGCCTCCGTCACTGTCTCATGCGAGTTTAGGCTGATCAAAGGTGTTTGGGGTTCCTTGAGAGGGTGGTCAAAAGTTTTGTGTTGTCTTGAGCATTACCACTCACGAACCATAAATAGTCGCACGTCATGCACACAGCATTGTAAACTTCGACAGCATTTCTATCACTTTTCCAGTGGTAAGTTCCCCATCTGAGCGCTGTGAGTGATGGCGCCAAAGAAAAAGTGCCCCTACTTTTCAAGCCACTTCAGCGTTTTGTGCAATGGTTTTAAAAATCTGGACAAATTCCACACCTGATCTTAAAAGCAAGATCACAGATCTCTTCAGATGGTTCGGGCATTTGCCAACTTGACTTCTTTTTTCCCTTTTCCTATTTGAAGCTTTAGAACGCCCCCTGGCCTTTTCAGGCACTTGTATTTTAGGCAGAAACATTTGACAGTCAGATGTTCTGTTTGCATTTTGCGGCCCCTCAGGTGCACAGGTCTTACAGCGACACCCACTCTTTTGCAGCATTGGCAAACTTGGTGGGCGCCCATGACGCCCATGCCAGCTCGGCTCAATCCTGCTGTCCACTTGCCTCCTCACCTAAGCAGAGGGCCGGAGGGATCCCCCAAACTTCCCGCCCATCGAACGTCCCCCATGCTTTCTTCCCACCTGCACACGCACGGGGGTTTGCCGCTACAGCAGCGACCAACAGCGCGTTTCCTGAGGCGTTCGATGCGCAGATGGAGACGGAAAGCAGCGACGGATGCCCGGCATCGTTGGAAGAGTACAACGACGTCCTAAGGAACCTGTCACGAAACACGAGGTGGGTCTGCCGATGGCCAATCTTTGATTGTCTGAAATGGGTTGAGATTTTGTCACAATCTCTCGGTGGCGCTATCACAAATGGTGTGGGATTGTTGTTGACGCACTTTTACGAGTGACAGGTCGAGTCATTTCTTCTTGTCCTGCACTTTTCTTTCAGTCTGAGCTGGATATTTTCTTCGGAACGGTTTGCAAACGGATCAAGTGCTGTGCAAGAATGAATCATGGATTTTCTCAACGTTCAACAGGACCATGCGTCACGGGAGTTCTCAGGAAAAAGAACAGCGCATCAATGAGTTGGGGCCCGCACTTTTCCAGAGCCTTCCTTGTCATGCATCCAGATTCCGCGCTGTTTGTCCATCGGACGGATCAATCAATGTTTATTGAAAATGTATCCATCTGCTCCGTGCTCGTACCACCCAAGATCAAAAATGTACTAAGTCTTCTCCCTTACAATCCCTCGACTTCATCAAACCCGGATCTCCATTCTTGCGAATATCCCTATATACTGGCAACTCCAGCTTTAACCAACAGCAGCATTCACTAAACAGGAGCCCCGGTGAAACGATGCAGAAAGCGTGAGGTTTACATGGATATGCTGCAAACCTCAGTCATGCTAACCCCCTACTAACCCCCCCCCTTCCCCGGGTGCTTAATGTCAGCAAAAGCTACCTAGTGCAAGTAGAGTTTCCGGAAGGTTTCCATTTGGAAGTTTCCATCCGGTCCCCTCAGTATCGGCGAAATGAGGAACGTGTGTCACAACCTGACTCTCGACGGCACGACATCACTCTCATAAAACTGGATTGCGATGTTGACATTCATTCCCTTCTCTTCCCAATCGTCCAGGATCGACGAGATTCGCGATGTGTACGACGACCTGACCCTCGACGGCATCGCGCCAGATCGCTCCACATACCACACGACGATCGGCGCCTGCATGCGCGCAAGGTCTCTCCAAGACGTGCTCTTCTTCTACGACCGGATGATGATGCAGGCAAGCCGCAAAATCTCCTGCCTTACGTTCTTGCCCGAGTTGTTAAATTTTCTTTCCGGTCGGATAGAGGCTTCGTTTCTGTTGTTATGATACGGAGCGAACTGAAGGCGGAAACAGCCTTGCATTGGGCAATCTTGACATGACAATTGGGAAATCTAGTATCATTTTCAGTGTCAGCAGTTGCAGGGTTGTTCCAAAGAGCGCTGGTAGTCATTTGTGCCATGTTGTTGCGATCGTCGAGAATGATTCTCCCGTTTTTAAGCAAGGCTTGACAACAACACCAAGAAAAAGATCAGAGAAGGAAAGCAAACGACATGAGGAGGAAACAAGGACAAAATTTCGAATTACAAGGGAACACCGCTAGAGGGTCCATTACAGGGCCTTGTTCGATTCGGAAACGCTCTTTTTACATGATCGTCAAGGCGTATTTTCGAGTCGTCCCTTGCGGTCCTTGCTCTCCTCTCGAAGCAGGTCTAAAACCTAGAGTAAGGAACCAGAGACAATCATCAAGACGAGCGAAATGTCTCCACATTCTGTTGCATGGCCTTTTTCCTGACGCGGCGCTCTTTCCCGTGATCTTCAAGGCGTTCCATTGCCTTATCGCTTGTCGTGCTTGATCTCTTTCCCGTGTTCGAAACAGAGCCCAAACAACAACGAAAAGAACACCAATCAGGTAATAGAAAAGAAACAAATGACATTTCTTAGACAATAACAAGACAAAAGCAAGAATTCTACGCAGGGCGTAATTCCCAATGGGATTCTTCCATGTGATCCTGAAAGACGTGTATTCGTTTCGTTCCTTTTGGTGAATAATCTTATACTTGAAGCAGAGCCGAAAGCACACAAATCTAGAATCTTATCAACTCTAGAAACTAAACAATACCAAGAGTGAATCGTCTATCAACGCCAAACTACAGGGCCTCATTCCCGATGCGACGCTCTTCCACGTGATCCTGAAGGCGTGCACGCGCGCGCGCGCGCCCAAGAAAGCGTTCGAGATCGCGGACGAGATGGAGGCGGTTGGCACGCTCGCCACGACCAAGACGTTCCAGCACCTGCTCGTCGTGTGTGCCAAGGCGGGCCAAGTTGACTTGGCGTGAGTTTCAGGCATACTAGTCTCTTAAATCGACTTGGCATGAATTTTAGGCATACTAGTCTGTTAATGTAGAGTTTTGGTCTAGTTATCACGGAGTCTTAGGCGCTTCATTCAGAACAATAAGGCAGTTGTCTTAGTTTCGGCATCTGCTCATGGGTTGTGTGGCCCAGGCGGGCCAAGTTGACTGGCGTGACTCTCAGACAGAGTCAATCCACGGTTAGGCTCTGGGTTATCTCTTGGGTAATTGGACAACGTCCAAAGATAACAATGACGGAAGGGAAAGCACGGAAGCTGATGCGCTCTTATTTGCTCTGCAGGAACGACGTGGTGACCAAGATGAAGTCCAAGGGCTTGGTGTTGAACAAATTTCACTACGCGGCACTGATCGAGGCCATCGCCAACCAGAAGCCGCACCCCGGCAGGGACACCACCGGAGCAGCGGTGAGCGGAATTCCGTCGGAATGAGCGCTGTTAACGTCACAATGAGCAAATATAACGTCAGAATATCCAACAAAAGTCAACGGTCGTCTTGAGGGTGAGCGGAACCTACCAGGCGGACCGCCATTCCGTGCTTCGGTGCTGACGTCAAAATAAACGCTTCAGATGTCTCGTTTGTGCTTGCTAGCTGAGTTTCGTCCAAACCCCCTGCCTAACTCGGACTGGACTTCTTATGATCGTACCGCTGTGAGTCCGAGCTCCACGAGATTCCGCAGATTGCCCGTAACGTCAGTATGAGCGGAACTACGTCAGAACAGAAAGTCAACGATCGTCCCAAAATTGACATGGGTTTCGCACCGGATTGAGGCACGGAAGTGGTGCTGAATCCCGTTGTTTGTGCGCTCGTCTCGTGTTCGTGTCGATAGAGCCGCCGCAAATGCCTTCTGCCTGTGCGGCTGGCGCTTCTGAATTGTCGGTGCAAAGCGATCCTTCTGCTGGAACTCTCGCTGCAATTGATACGCGCTGCCCTCGTCCCTTGTGGCAAAATCGCTCGTTTATCAAGCTTCACACTTCTTTTGGGTTGACTGCCGGCGAGGCAGAAGTAGTACGGTTGCTTCCTAACTCCGCCCGAAACGTTGCCGCGAAATCCTCGTTACTTTGAGGAAAACGTCGGCTTTGGGTGGACTATCAAGTCTGAGGTCTGGGCGATCGGCTTGCGGCTGGCACGGCAAAAAAGCAAGAAAGCATTAGGCTCTGAAAGTATGACGGAAATGAGGGTTCGGAAATAACACAGGAACTGTCGGCGCACAAGTCTGCTCCAGGTGTCCCCCTCTCGATGCTGGACAAGGTCCGTACAGGACAACGGAAACAATCAGAAGCATTTACGACCGAGGGAGAAAACCTTGATCGACGGCTCAACCATCTCTGCTGGTTCTTTTCCCTCCAGATCTTGCGATTGTTCGAGGTGGCTTGCAAGGATTGCGACGCATGAGGTTGACTCCTCATGAGGGGTCCCGCGGCGCTGACGTGCCTGTGACGACCGCCTTACAAAATCGACGGTGAAAAAGGCTCAGAACATGATATGAACGGCACTCATTGATCCTTTCCGACTTTTCCCTCCAGATGTTGCGAATGTTCGACGAGGCGCGCAAGAACCGCGACGCGTGGGTCGACCCGTACGAGGGGGTCTCCCGTCGCTGGCGCGCAGGGGGCGACCACTTGGGTCCCGAAGACGACGACGAAGAATCCGGACCCGCGCGGCCCGATCTAGTTGTCTACAAGGCCGCCCTCAACGGGAGCATCACGCTCTACTTTGAGCAGGTGCGCTTTGTAGAAGCAGTCTTTCCATTTTTGTCACGTTTCCTGCTTCCATCCCTTTGTCGCCGACTTTGTTCTGTCAAGGGTAGATCTGAATCTACTATCGCTTTATAGCCGTTAGGAGCGGTAAGGTAGCTCTTCTGTTGCGCATCGATCAAGGGTGAAGTCAGATCCGTAAGGATGCAAAGACCGGTCGCGCAGAAAATTTCAACCCTTGCCCCTGAGGCCCCGAACTTCTGGGTAAAGACTTTGCGCGTTCCTGACAGCGCTCTGAGTTGACAGCGAAAGCCCGACGGGGGATTGGTGCACGCGGTGCGGAAAACGTCCCCGAAGTATGTCATCTTATGTACCTCAGAAACCCTTTGATCACAAGCTTTTCAAAACCTCGCAATCCTGCACCCTCGACGCAGGGAACAGGTGCGCTTCTGACAGCGCCGCGGGAAGACGGCGCGGAGCTCCAAGAACCCCCAAGAAACAAATTGAATTTTTGAATCTATACAACCCACACATTCCAAAAGCTCTAAATGTTTGACACCCGTAAACCTCAACACAGGGAGTACTCGCAGTTCTGACGGCGCTCCATGAGGGCGGCGGGGAGCCGGACGGGGAGCTGATGCACGTTGCGTCTGAAAGCCCAGTTTTTGTTCGTTACGAATCATTAGTGTTTTGTGGGAAAAGAGCCAAAATTGCTTGAACATCGATGCAGGGGGTATGCCCTTTAGCACTCTGGTATCCTAACAGCCTAAAAGTCTTGACTTTCAATGCAGGGGATACGTGCGGTTTTGGCGGCGCTGCGTGAAGACGGCGCGGAGCCGGACGGGGAGCTGATGCACACGGCGCTCTTCGAGCTCGTCAAGGCGCGCGACTTCGACCAGGCGTGCCAGCTGCTGGACGACTTCCCCAGCTCGCCCCTCGGGGTGACGTCGTATGACGTCAAGGCAAGCTGCCCCTGATCTTTGCAAACCCGGAGATCTCACAAACTGAGGGCGTTGGAGGGAGTTGAGCACCTAAGTGACGTTGTCTTAGCCAAGGAAACCTTCCCTCGTTTGTAGAAGTGCCGTCCTCGCGTCATGCTGACAACTACGGGGGGGGGATCCCTCCCCCCCCGGCCGTAGTGGTTCTTATACACGGCGTCGTAACTCAGAGCATGTGCCCTGCTCTGCTGTTGAAGCGCTCTATTCTGCACCCTTTTCCGCTCAACCCACGTCCCGACACCCGTCTTTTTTGCTGCCCTAGTTGCTCTCCACGGAGGGTCTTCTTCGCAAAGACTATGTCTTGTTCAGCGCTCGGCCGTGCATGTTATTCTGTAAAGCCGTATCTGACACCCGTCTTTCTCGCTTCCCTAGTTGCTGTTCACGGAGGTCGTCTTCGCGAAGCATATGCCGACTCTGCAGCGCTTGCTGACGCGCCAAATGGACCCCAACGTGCGCACCTTTTTCAGCGCGCGCGACGCCAACGGCCTGCTCTCCATGATGGACAAGATGCTCCGGGTGAGCCGCGTGACGTCACCTTGTCCTTTCCGTGACTTCACGGCTTTGGTTAGCTTTAGAGGTTTGCTGATCAGTATGGTTGAGGTTGTGTCGCCTAGCAATGGCCGGCTTCAGCATGATGAGTAAGATGCTCCGGGTGAGACGCGTGACGTCATCCTCTGCCTGGCGCTGACGTCACGGCCTAAATTTGCGAGGGGATTGACGGAGGAGCTTGAGTTGCTGGGCAACGGCCTGCTTCAGCATGATGGTCAAATGCGCCGGGCGAGCGGCGTGACGTCATCCTTCCCCCACGTTATTGTCTCAGTCAGGCATGAGGTCGAACCTCACACTAACCGTGAACCATGAAATCGGGTGTCGAACTCCGTCTTCCGTAATTCCTCCTGCGACGCGGCGCAGTTTTCTTTTTGGGTTCTTATCACGCCGGGAACGACTCCCCGATGCTTTCTTTGCGACGTCTGAGACCGGAGCGTCATGCTGACGTCACAATGCTTTTCTCCTCCTGCAGAAGATTGACTACACGATGTGCGTTTCCATGTGGGAGGTGCTTCGGGGGATGGACATTAAGCCGTGGCTCCCCGCCGCTAAGGACCACATGCGCTGCCTCATGGTCAGAGCGCTCCTTTCTCATCGCGTCCGTTTCCCTTGTTTTTCTTGTACTTTTTCTGCCATTAGTTGCCCTCTTCGAATTTCGGTATTTCTCCTTATCTTCATCGACTTGTTTTCGTTATGTTCCGCTTCCCATTTGCTTGTCGATGAAGCAAACGTTTCTGCTCTTTCTCGTCTTATCGTTCCTCCTTTTCTGTTTCTCCTTTTCTCTGCCGCCTCTTTCTTCTGTTTGCCTCGCATTATGCCATCGTTTATGGTCGACGGTCATATACGCTGATTCCTCTCCTCTTTTTCTGGTCCGCAGTTCTCAAAGTCTCCTGTGCTCCCCCGATTTTTCTTCTTTCTATCACATCCTTAGGACCTTATCTCTATTTCGAAGCTTTTGCTTGTTCTGCTTCGCTCGTTTCCTAGCTACGGTGTCCATCTAATCCTTTCGCCGTCAATTCTCTTCAATGTGCTGAACTTTTTTCGAAGGTCGACTAAGGTCCACAGAATCAGGCGGCCTTTCTGCTCAATCGTTTGTATCACTACAGGTGAACAAGATTCCCGAGACGGATCCGCACTTAACGGAGGTGAAAGGCTGGATCGACCTGATCCAGTCGAGGACTCTGAGCGGACAGAATTTCCACACGCCGCCAAAGAGGCGGGTGGAATCAGCGGAAGGACGGAATTCGTCCAGAGAGCCTGAAGAAGCATCTCAATTGCAATGACGGAAATAGGTGCTAACGATGAGCTCGATGGGTCTTAAGAAGTACAGCTGGTAGCTGAAGGGAGAATTGTTGGATCCACGAAAGGGGAAAGCACGCTAGCGCCTTTTAATGGACAACAAGAGACCGTTTTGCGATAAATGCAAAGCCCGAAGGCCGAGTTTATGCTCCACATTCGTTCCTAAGAGAATCTTACGTCGCTACTGCCTCGGCTGACTTGATTGCGGCAGAATGTGTATGCGGCCGGCCGTGCCTTTATCATGGTAAGATTGCTGGAGAGCGGCGTCCGACTGAATGCCACGATGAACGTGTGCGCGTCAATTAGCATAAGTAAGGGGGCCGCGGATTACCTGCGGGCCTTTGCATACGTTATGCAGCAGTACAGCAGCGACCAGTTTTTGCGCTGAGGAGTTTTGAGCCCAGATCAAAATCATGTGCACGATCGATATGCAAGTTTGAGAGTAGAAGCTCTGCTAGGTGATTGAACTGCTCAGTGGCGAAAATCTATGGATGGTGGCAGATTGCATGCTTAGTCGGACGTAAAAATATGCATGGCAGCTTCATCCAAGTTCAGCGCACGTGTGGATCAACAGCGCCTGACCTACTGACGCAAAAGCAGCTTCCGGCTACCGTCACGCTGGATGCAAATACTCATGCTTTTGAGCTCTACGTGTGAATCGGGAGAACTGTGATGACAATAAGTGAATGATCATTAAGTGTGTATATCTTACAGTATACCGTTGGTCGGCCATTAAGCTTATCATACTCAACATTTGATCCGGCCATCAAGACCTGAGCGCGCGAGCAGGCGGGCCGAAGGTGAACTTGTACTAAACATGCAGCCAAATCATCCGTATCCATCAGTCTAGCTTAGCTTATGGCCGCCTCTTTAGAAGTATTGACACCTACATGTGCTTTTCAAGGACCGGACAAGGCTCATGCCAGTATAGGTAAGTTACGCCAAATTGACCACAATCATGTGCAAGCAGCAACAATTTTGTCCCTGCTCCAGTCTTTTGATCCACCTCGGCGAAATCCAGATCTCCAAGTTCTCCTGCCCACCTCTAAAACCCCTCGGCTCCTACCGCGCCAGTTGGCGCGACCTTGCATTTCCCCCCAACTCTGCCCCGGGCATCGCCTTTTCGTATAAGCTATCCGCCACAAGTAACAATAGGTAGTGGCCGGGACTGCTCTGAGGGCCCAGCATTTACCATTACCGCTTTTCTGCAAACCGTTCCCTCCCACCCATGCCATGA